AGGTTTTAATTATTCTCAATATGTTGTGGAAACTTCCTTAATTTTATTTGATGTTCTATTTGCTATTACATTTTTACACTAAATATTTGTTTATTTTGTGGAATGGTTTTTTATTATTGATTCTAACATGATTAACATGAAAAACTCAGGGCCAAGGGATAACATTTTTGTATTCTAAATGTCTAAGTGGAGAGTTTTCTATGTACTGAAATCTTCAGAGCAACAGTTTGCGTTAAAGGCAACTTAATGAGTACCTGAAGTACAGTGCAAGGCTCTCTCTCAGTGAAGCGAGAAATTCTGTGAACTTTATTCGCAACTGCACAGAAATACACCGACATCCTAAATCTCATTGAAAATCCTTACATCCTAGTAGAGTTCGACTGAATGGTAGAGTACTAAAATGCCATGCACTAAATTGGATCGGAAGTGCATCGGTGGCATAGCGGTTAGGATGCTCGCCGACCATGCACATGGTCCGGGGTTCGATCCCCGGCCACCGACGCACTCCTTTACCTCGCTAAGCCAGAAATCAATGCTGGTGAAGAGGAGAGTTTGGGCATGAGGCTAGCAACCCCATCCTGTAAAATAAACACTGCTACAGAAACTTCAAGCCACTAGCTTGAAGTCCTATGTTCCACTGGGGAACGTGAAGGAAAAAAAATTAGATCGATTCGCTTAAATCATGTATAAAGGTTCTATGCTGTAGACAAACTCCAAGAGCACTTAAAAATAAACATTTTCTGGACTACATGAATCAAGTTGGTGGTAAAAGGAAAGAAAAGAAGCGTTCCATGTGACTGTGAAGTCTGGAAAGTGAAACTCCTAAAATGGAACTTCCTTCAAACCTTTAGTCGATATGTTTATAATATTTCTCTCTTCCCCTAGGCTATTACTCTTTTTAGCAATGTAGTGAAAAAAGTGTTTGGCGAAAATGTCAAGTTTGAATAAATGTGATTGCTCAGTTGATAAATTTGTGAATTGTAATTTTGTGTTGTTGTTAGCGAATAGGCATGTTTAGCTAGGACATATCTAATTGGTTTGCTTTCATGAGAATGAAAAAATCGAAATTGATAGTAGAAGATATTACAGCATAATATGGGTAAGAACTCGTTATCCTGAAGTAAAGTCGATACCAACATGATGTATTAAATCTTAAAAACTTTTGGACATGCTGGTAATTTTTTTCTCATTCTGGCTTTCAATGAAAACTCATATTTATTATTATCCGTATTTTTACTGGCTTCCTTTCTTGATAACTGCAATTTTGATTAGCTGGTTTATTCTATGGTAAGACGTTATGTTTTTGAATTAGTTGAATAACTAAAACCTGCACTGAAAATGTTGTCTAGAAGGACGACGAAAGCATCGCAACAAATCAAACAATTAATTCAAAATCATCCACCTGATCTACAAATCTTCTCCATTATTTCAACACGTTATATTTGTCAGGTAATTCATTCACTTTCAGTAAGTAGTAGGTGACACTTTTTAAATTAGGCATTAGGAACTGATTAGCAGAAGGCCTAATTTGACCTTAGCTTCATTCTTATTTATTTATTTTAGAAGGAGAATATGAAACCATGAGGAGGCCAGTGCTCCATAAAGTCTTCGACTTCAGCACTGAACTACGTTCTATATCATTATTTTTATTTACTTAGGTTCCGAGTGGAGCACAGAGCTTCAACAGTACATCTCCATTTCATCTTGTTATCTGCAGTCCTCTTTATCTGGCTTTACGATTGCCCATGAACTCTCATCTCCTCCTTACATGATCGCCTCCACGCTACCCTCAGGCCTATTTCAAGAAGTTATTGACTCCCATTCGAGCGATGGACTGGCTGGTGATGTCTTTCAACGGTCTTCTCAGTGTGTGTTCTCTGATCTATTTCCATTTTCTTCGACATATTTGTTGGGCAATAGGCTGTTAGTCGGTTCATTGCCAAAGTCCCTTTTATTATTATTATTATCGTTCCCTTGGGTTCCTAGTGGAACATAGGGCTTCAACAACACGTCTCCACTTGTTTCTGTCTTCTGCTGTACTTTTCACCTGCATCCATGTTAGTCCATACTGTTTCAGATCCTCTTCACACGATCTCCTCCATGTCACCCTAGCACTGACGACCCACTCACCGCTTCCCTTTCGGGTTCCACTCGAGCGTTGGCCTGACACGCGATGTCACCCAACGGCCTCCTCAGCGAGTGTCCAATCCATCTCCACTTTCTCCTGCATATTTGTTGGGCGATTGGTTCTTGTTTTGTTTGTTCCCATAGTTTCTTGTTGGTGATTCTTTCCAGCCATCTGATCTTCAGTATAGAGCGAAGACAGTTGTTGATAAAGGTCTACAACAGGCTGTTGGAAATATTCTTTGTGACCCGCCAAGTTTCTGATCCGTATAGAAGAACTGACTGACTTGACTTTTGTATTGAAAATCCGAATTTTGTTGTTGATGCTGAGTTGAGTGATGAAGATTTCCAGATTGGTTTCAGGTTGATGAATGTGTTTCTCGCCTTCCCGATTCTCGATTTGACATCCTCGTCCGTTCCTCCTGTGGTTGAGACAATGCTCCCTAGATAAGTGAAAGAAGTAACCTCTTTCAAATCCCTCCCGTTGATGGTGATTGGCACTGGATGTTGCTGCTGCTGTTGTTGTTGTTGTTGGTTGGTTATTTTCATGACCTCCGTCTTGTCTATGTTCACCTGGAGTCCTGTCTTCACTGGCTGCTTCTTCGACCAGTTTGTCGGTTTTCGCTTGTAAGTTTTCGATTTTGTGTGACATCAAACATAAATCATCCACGCGTGAAAACCAGTTCTTCTAGATTCTTCACGTCGGTCCAGGATATCCCTGTCTTCTCGTTTCCCACTGTCTGACGCATAATCCAGTCCACCACAATTAGGAATATCATTGGTGATAATAAGCACCCTTGTCTGACTCCTGTGTTTACTCGAAACGCTTCGCTGAGTTTTCCGTTGTGGATCACTTGACATGTGCCGTTGTCGTACAGCTGTTGAATAAGGTTGATTACTAGAGCCTAGTTTACTAGCTCACTAGTTTTCTAGCCGGTCCCAAGCCCGGATAAAGAGGGAGGGTTGGGGCGTGGTGCTAGCAACTCCACTCTCAAAACTTATCCAAATTGCTACAGAAACTTCAACGCACAAATAGATTAAAAATTCAAAGTCCCTTTCAAAGAGCATTTAATTAAACTTCTAGTATTTCGCACCAAATTACGGTAAACTGTACTCATTTTATCTCTTAGCTTAATAACTATTTAACAAATTTGGTTAGTACAGTTCGATTAGTACCGAAGACTTTTAAAGTTAAATCAGCTGATTAGTTTACGTTTGCTGTAAATTTAAATATGACACAAATATTCAAACGTTTGGTACCAGTCGTATTGTATCACAGAATCCTTGACTGGTACACAAAACAAAGCAGATTTCAGATTTTTTTAAATACACAATCTTACGTGAAACAGACAAATTAAACAGCATTCTACGCTTATTTCAGTTATACCATTTTTATCGCTAATCTGTGTTACTCATCTTACACTTCCAATAACTTTTAAGTAGAATACTTATTCATGACTATATTATTCCTTTGCGTTCCGAGTGGAACATAGAGCTTCAGGTTTTGACGTTTCAAAAACTATGGTATTTATTTTTTACGGGGTAAGGTTACTAGCCTCACTTTCAACCTTCCCTCTTTACCGGGCTTACTACCTGCTAAGTAAGGTTTAAGAATGAGTCAGCCAAGGGTCGAACCCAGGACCACGTGGGTGGTTGGCCAGTATTCTACTACTGAACCACTGATGCACAAAATAGAACACTAGTATGTACTAAATAGTTAGATAGTCAGAACTCACTTTTTTCCTTCATTGGATCCCTAGTGAAACACTGGGCTTTAAGCTTTGAAGTTTTCGCTTTCAGTAGCAATGGAGCAGCTAGCCTCACACCCAACCTGACCTCTTTTCTAGGCTTATTATAAGTTATGTGAGACTTGAGAGTGCGTCACCCGGCAGTCGAACTCGAGCCTCCCACATGGCTGGCAGGCATTCTACTTCTGAATCACCAATGTTCTATTAAAATTACAGTACTATAACATAATTTTCAATTTTTAAATTATCACCTCTAAGAATCCGTGCTAATTCAATGCTAACACAGTATACAATATGTACTAATAACCCGTATGAGTAAAGATCGACGTATTTTAAAATATCAAAATAAATTTATTCCAAATTCAGGATCATTTAGCGAAGCATTTTAAATCAAGAAGTACTCAACAACCTAATCACTATAGTTTTGGACACTTGTAAACCCATGAGAGATCAGATCCAAGACTATCCTATTAGAAGAATAAACAAATCATATGTTAGTCACTAGATTTAAATCCAAATCGATAGGATTTAAGAGCAAAACGATTGAAGAGTCTAGGTTTGAAAAGAAACACATGTCTGGTTTAGTTCTCTAAATTATGTTCGACAACAGACTGATACTTCCGAAATACAACGATAATCAACAGTTATTTAATTCACTTCAGATTTCCTCATCGATTGATTGGAGCGAAGTTCTCGGTCTCAGATTGACATGTAGGCAGATGCTTCAACGATGTCTAGTCATGTAACCTGAAGTCAGTTGGTGGATGGTGAATACATAACGCTTTGGCGTTTGAAACTATGAGCACTAGGTTCTAACCTCGGTGGGAACACTGTCACTCACTGGGGAATACAGGCACTTCCAGATGAAGAGTCCCAAACAGGACGAAATGTTCATCCTGGATTCCACTGCTCTTCATCATCCACCAGTTGACTTCAAGATAATCAACAGTCTCTGGAAAAAAAATACCTTTTTGTATGACTGTTCAATAGTCACACTGATGTATACTATTAGTATTCAAGTAGTGAATGATCAGTGTTCAATATGAGCATATTCAACAGAAAAAAGTAATATGTATTAAAAAAAAGAAACGATATTATCAATTAGGAGTATTTGTTTACTACACTAACCTTTTTGAAAAATGGTTTACGACCACCTCTTGCACTGACAGAAATTTTCCCAGCTACTGTTTCTCTTCTAGGATTTCCATCTTCATCATAACTTCTGTTGTTTGCATCAACATCAGCTAAATCATCATCACAATTGGAAAAAAATATGAAAGGTTCATAGAATTTTTACACAACATTAAAAATGTACTGGGATATTAATAAAATAATGATTAACGAATTCTGAATTTAGGTTTCGTGGGGATTTTCATTAATTAATTCCAATGTAGACTTCGTCAGGAATCAACATCAATTAAAGAATTATTGAAAATCAGAAAATATTGGACAGTTGTTTCGTCCTACTTGGGGAATCTTCAGTAATACACACATACTACTGGGAATCAAACCCAAGGCCATTATTTTATAAGAACAAACAGTTCAGCTAAGAGCCTCTTTTCGGTGAATCCATTCATTTAGCTATACAATCACGATTATGCATAAGTATTTTTGTATGTGTGTTTACATGGCACAACGATGAAAATTAGTTGGGAGTACTGTTTACATCATCAGAATATTTCAAAACAGTGGTGAATAATCAAATTGTAACTGGAGTGGGGGTAAAGTTTAGTAAGTTTAGACTAAGATTACGTAATATGAAAGACGTTCAGAAAGGGTGACCAGTTCGTTAACCATTCCAGTCACTCGGTTGGAATTCAGTTACCCATGGATTTTAATTTGCATCAATTTGCAGTATAACGCCACTATCAAGCAATGCCACCAATGAGTATCCGCTCTACTCTGACACGGTGAACCCCACCGGCCAGGACTTTGCATTGGAACTTCAGGACATCTTTCTAGTAGCCAGTAATCAACTGTATATTGATATACAGATTTTGCATTTTGTAGGAATTTGGATTCATTTCAGTGTGAATTTCGTCAAGAACAACATTTTGACAACTAGCATAACTAATAAAGTAATATTATTATTATTGTTCCCTTGAATTCCGAGTGGAACATAGGGCTTCAACAACACATCTCCACTTTGTTCTATTTGTTCCACAACCACGAGCACACTGAAGGAGTGGCTATAATGATGTCACCAACACCAGTCTAAGCTCTAATGCAGTGAGAACCAATCTCATCCAAGATAATGACAGCATGATTCAACTCAAAAAGAAGGAAGGTTACAATTATCCTACGCTACGCGCCTACATACAACACAGAACAAGAAAGAAGGAAGACTTCGATAGACAACTGCAAACAGCAGTGGACAAAAGTCCAAATGGCAACATGTAATGGGTGATACTAATGCCAGACGAAATGGAAGTAAACTGAACATGAAGTGAATTCATCCGGGGTCCACAGGCTTTTGGCGGAATGAATGGGAACGGCCAAATCTTCGCAAACTGCTGCACCTTCAATAATTTGGTGATTTAAGTTGCGTGTACAAGCACAAATACATACATAGAGAGACATGAATTTTACCAAATGGATACACCAAAAATCAGATGGACTTTCAATGCTGCTCAAGAAAGTGAAAACCCAGCCTGGTGGAAATAAAGTCGAGAAGGGGAGCATATGTAGACTCAGACAATTATCTAGTCCAAGGAACCCTTAAGGTCAAGCTGAAAGCCTTCAGAGCAAGTGGAGACAAACCGCAATTCAAGTTCATCACTCCGAGGCTGAAGGAGGAAACTACAAGGGATACTTTCACAGCAAATATCAGAACAAAGTCGGAGACACTACGTTGCATCACTGAGGAAACCCGCGTGGAAGAACATTGGAACTCTCTGAAGGTGATGTTTAAGGAGACGTGTACAGCCGTTTTAGGAGGAAAGAAGAGACAAGACAAAGAATGGCTCTCAACAGATACCTGAAAGCTAATAGAAGAGAGGAGGATGGTGAAACTATATTAACAGCCCAGTAGGAAAGTACTCAACAGTCTCCTGCACTGATCCCATTCACAATATCATAAACAAGAAAAATAACGCAACTTTCTAAAATTTTAGCCAATGTAGACTTGTGATACCCGAATCTCCTTAAATTATTCAGACATGTAGATCTGTGTATATTAAGTTATCACGTAGAAGGTTTGAAAGTCTTATGATAAGCACATAGAAACATAAAAAAACTTGACGGTTTTCACGTGCCATATTACTGAACTCTAATCTTGGTTATTATGTCTATTGATCTAAACACATAACGTGGTGTTTAGTGTATACTTTCCTAGACTATTGTTTTAAGAAAGTAAATCAATGAGCTTACAGTTAGACCCACCCAATAAAATATGTTGCTTTTAGCAAGACTAGAACTTATGTGTTTATTTATGGCATACATATAAAAAGGAATATACATATTTTCTCCATGTAATGATATTTTACACAAAACATTGACTGTATAATCTGAATTTGTATTCCACGAGGGAAAAGAATATCTTCCGACTAGTAATCGTACAGAATGATAAATAATTCTGTATTACATGTAACATTTTCACAATTTTTGATTCGTTTATTTTGAAAAGTAGATGTATACACCAATGTAAGAGTGGAGTTTGTGCACCGTGGTTGAGCAGAATTCCATACTGCATAAATTTATTTGATATGACATACACTTTTATAGTATGAATGTTTCGATTATATTTCGAGCGAATTCTCCTGCTCATAATAATCTCAAAATATTTAAAAGACTTTATGTAGTTGTATGCCTTACTACTTTTTCCCAGTAGAATTTCCTCTATGCCTTGGGTCGATAGCACGTCATTCCCATTACACCTGTTGGTTTGATGAACGAAGATGCAGCGACTAACTTTTCACTATAACTGTATTGGATACAGAACTCCGCCGACAGGAACAAGCTGGATTCAGGAAAGGCAAATCATGCACAGATCAAATTGCATCTCTACGCATCGTCATCACAGAACAAAGTATAGAATGGCAGTCACATCTCTACCTTAACTTCATCGACATCAAAAAGGCCTTCGATAGTGTAGATCGAGAACACTGTGGCGCGCAGTGTTCAAGCATTTATCAACCTTATTCAACAGCTGGCTATATGACAGTGCTACTTGTCAGGTAATCCACAAGGGAAAACTCAGTGAGACGTTCGCAGTATATACAGGAGTAAGACAAGCTGACTGACTATTATCACCAACGATTATGTTCTTAATTGTGGTGGACTGGATTATGCGTCACACTGTTGGGGGCGAGGAGTCAGGAATATGCTGGACCACCGATAATAATGCTCTAGAAGATCTGGATTTCGCATATGATATATGTCTAATGTCACACAAACTGGGGGACGTGGAGGCAGGCGAAAACCAACAAACTGGCTAAAGAAGCAGCCAGTGAAGACAGGACCCCAGGTGAACATGGAGAAGACAGAGGTGATAAAGATAACCAACCACCGTCAACAGCATAAACAACAACAAGCAGCCCTAATCACCATCAACGGGAGACATTTGACAGAGGTTACCTCCTTCACTTATCCCGGAAGCATCGTTTCAACCACAGACCGGAGGAACGGTGGAAGATATCAAAGTCAGAGTGGAAAAGGCAAGAAGTAGTTTGGAAATCTTCTGCACCGACTCAACATAAAGAACAAGATTCGGATTTTCAACACAAATGTGAAGTCAGTCAGTCGGTGGCACAGCGGTTAGGACTCTCGCCGACCATGTATATGGTCCGAGGTTCGACCCCCTGCCGACGCACACCTGATATCTATGGTCGGCCTGCAAAATTTGGGCTACCGATATCATATGCTGAAAGTTCTATTCTTTTACCAAAATACTGTGTGGTTTCAAGCTATAATCAAAAAATTATTCTATATAGGTTAGAAACTTGCACTGCGTGTGATGAAAAGGATTTCCAACAGGTTGGAGACTTTCATCAACAGCTACCTTTTATGGCTCCATACTGCAAATCAAATGGCCAGAAAGAATTCTCAACAAGAAACTCCGCAGTGGAAAAAACCAAGAGGCGATAGCCGATTACTCAACAAATATGTAGGAGAAAATGGAGATGGATGGGTCAGGCACACATTGAGGAGGCCGCCGAATGACATTGCACACCAGGCCCTCGAGTGGAGTCCGAATGGGAAGCGACGAGTGGGTCGTTGGTGCGAGGGTGACATGGAAGAGATCGTGTGAGAAAGAGATTAGAGAGTTCGGTCAATCATGGACCCAGATGAAGAGGATGGCAGAAAACAGAACAAAGTGGAGATGTGTTGTTGAAGCCCTATGTTCCATTCGGAACGCAAGGGAATATTAATAGTAATAATAATAGGACTGTACTTGTTTTGAATACCTTTATGTGATCTCACTCTAATGTGTGGTTGTATGTAAGACCATACATAACAGTAGGTCAGTCTGTTGGATTTCTTATCTTAGTGGCATCTATCATTCCAGATCTAAATGAATTTTTGTGTTCTGATAACCTAACCAACCCGAATCTGCTGATTTGTCATTGCGATAAGTACATAATATTTGATAAGATGGGCTAGTTTCTCTAATCGGGTTAAAGGGATCCTTAAACTGATAGAGTTTATCCCCAAAGGATTCTATATTAGATATGTTTGTTTGAGATAACACACAATGAGACCATAATAATAACTGGATGATGTTTCGAGTACAATTTATTGCCCATAATAGCATCAATATATTCACATAAATCCCTAACTTACTTTATACAGTGTTACTGTGTGTTATACTAAATGAACTCATTTAACATAGAGTTATATTTTAAAACAGTGCTGACATTTCAATCTTACATTATTCATGCCTTCATGAGTTCGTGGATTTGACTGTCACGCTAATTTCAGCCCCATAAGGAATTCTAATAAGTTTTCCAGACGACTCTTCCTCATATGATACTGATCTGGAGGTTTCAAATTTTTCTATTAGCCATATTATTATGATCATTACTTGCATTACTACTTCTATTTCTAAATTTCTGAACTAATTTCGGTAGAGAGTTATACAGTGGTAACGTCCTCTTTACCTGTTTGATTTCCCTGTTTAAATTTACTGACTTCTTAGGCAGATTATTTAGACATCTATACATCGAACCCCGGTGGGTTTGTACTGTCGAAGAGTCCCAAACAGCTGACCAGCACTCCCTGGTTTTCTTATGAGAATATAACCACATTTTTATACTGCTGACAGTTAAAGCTCCATCTTGTCTTCATTTTATTTTGGTGGTCTAGGACAGGCAACTCATCCCATTCAATTTCTAATTCAAAGTTGAACTGGATTTGATCTGTTCCTGAGTTTATGTGCTCAACAGGATTACGGATATATTCAGATGTCAATAAAATAAGCATGTCATCTGAGTACCTCCACAATATATTGGGAGTAGGAGTACTATGTCCCCAACTATGTTTATATATATGCTATACTGATTACTCCATTATCGTACCAATTGTTTAATTCCATATTTTATCTGACAATTTGAAGACTGTAGAATGGGACATAATCAAACGGCCAACATGAATTCCTCAACCAATGTGTCATTTCAGGTTCAGTTTTCATCTGGTTGGTGCTTGACTGCTTCCAAAGCCAAATGAATCGAAATATAAGTGTCGAAGATTTTTTATCAGAACTAGTCATTATTTTTTATCCCTTCTACTTGAATACCTTTCAGTCTCCGTTTCATGCCATATAAATTACTTGATTAATTTACAGTTTGAACAGTTTCTAGTGGAAGATAATATTAATACTAAATATTTAGACAGATTGGTCGTCAGTGCGAGGGTAACATGGAGGAAGTCATGTGAAGAAGAGATGAAAACATGTGAGCAGACGTGGAGCAAGGTGAAAACGTTGGCAGAGAACCGAACGCAATGGAGACGTGCGGCTGAAGCACTACATTATTTTAGGAATTAAAGGAAATAATAGTAATTTAGACATATATTGTTTATCGAATCAAAAGCAAATACATGAAATAGGAATACCACATCACCTCTGTTTTGAATATCTGAAAACTCTTTTAACTCTAACAACAATCTACGGAAAAGAATCTGAACTCTGAGAACCTAATTGTGGATTTACACTCAATAGAAAAATGGACATTGAACTACGTTCGAAATGTCATCTAGCAAATAACACTGTTCCACTGTTTAACAAGTCCAACAAAGCAGTAATATGATATAAATTAGGATACAGCCTTAAAGTACATAAAATTATTTAAGAAACTGTAAATTTTGATTTACCAGGAGGTGTAGAAGGTCTTGAATTACCACTTCGTGCATTATCGAAATTTCCTGTAGAACTTTTGCTGAAAAAATAGAACACGAAAAACGATAGTCTTTAGTAAAAAAAATTAAAAATTTCACCTTGATAATGAAACAAAGAATTCAAAAATAACACAATCAATTGAACAACTTTAAACACAAAATCTCTCTATTCAAGCAAGAGAGCAAGTAACAAAATATACCTATTCATTCACGAGCAGAGATTTACCCAGAGAAGAAATATTCGCCTACAACGATTTCATTTCTACACTTTGTAGTCATATTTATATTACGTGAAAAGGTATTTAGTGGCATTAAAACCTGCGCAATCAATAAACATTGAAAAAATTAAGATGAATTTTTGAACTAGTAGAGTTGTAGTGAACGAATTACAGAATTAAGAGGCTTAAATAGTAATAATAATCACTTTATTCCGCAACAATAACAATTTACAGCATGGAATTTTCAGCGTTAAAAGTGAGTCAGTGTCTGCAGAAAAATTGAAATCACAATGATGATGACAACAATGAAAGCGAAGATAAAGTGATGTGGAATGAAACTAACCAAAAAGAAAACATTACTCTAACCAAGATAAAGCAAAAGGGGCGTAGTAAAAAGTCTTTGAATACATAGCCTATGGTTTTGTTTATGCATAACTGGTACTTTTGCTATGCATAGATGATGAAAACGTAAACTGTTAAAAATAGTTGAATTTTAGTGCATACATCTTGTGGGACCTGACCCAAGAAGGTGTTCACAAATAGAAGACTCCATCATCCTGTATTCGCCTTACATCAACCAAACCCTGTAGTGTTCAAGTACACGTTTCTAGAGAGCACGCTTACAATGTCAAATGTAATCAGTTCCATAGGAGCATGTGAAAGAGTAAATATACATGGAGAAAGAGAGCAAAGCAGCAGTTCATCCTTCACGCATTGTCAAATCATACTGCGGCTTAAGAATTAGAGGCGAAAATCAGCAGTATAGAAAGTGTCTTTAGTACACTTGGATGAACAACTTTTAAGTACCACAACAATGATGCAACTTACGATTGAGAAATTTATGATGATTGATGTCTTCTACCATATTGAGATTTGACTAAGGGCGATTTGTTTCCTACTACTTCTTTGAATTAACCTTGTATGCCATTCATTACTTAAGTGCTATATAAAGGTTTTCGAGTTCTTTGTTGATCATATTCTTGGAGTACACTTTTAGAACTCTAGAACACAGATAGTGGATACGGTTTCTCGTCCTACTTAGAGGTTCCCGACTGTTAAAGTTAGTTTACTGCCATCTCATCATCTCTGTTGTCTTAAATAATATCTAGAAAGTGAAGTGTAGAATTTCATTCTTCATCAGTCGTGACAGTTGAGCATATTTCACCACAAGCAATTATTACATCCATCCACATACATATCTTTTATTTAAATGCAGATCAGAGACTTAATTTCACTACGCTACATCTAACCAATGTGACTACTTCTACTTTCAGTCACCATTTAGACCAATGAAAAGATTTTCAAGTAGTCAAATTATTTTAATTCAACGTCGAATAAACTAATTATCAATGCAGTTAACTTCCAGTTGTGAATATAATTCAATAAAATATTTGTAAAGAAGCATATATCAAAATCTGGGGACAGTCTTCATTCATTTTCAGCTTATCAATTACTGCACACAGCAAACTGATGACATCAGTAAAAAAACAGTAGCAATAGAACCTTGTATTGTATCAAGTCGCAATAGACGGCAAGCAATACAAGTAATTTTCAATAGTTGGTTTGTTAGGATTAGTTTTGTTTTTACGAGTTGATCGCGGATTGATATCAGTTAGAGAACCATTGAAAACCAGCTGGGAGTACTGGACAGCCATCTGTTTCATCCTAGTGTGGAACTCACCATTGACAGTAACGCATCCACTGCTAGGTTTCGAACCCACGACCTTCCGGTTACAAGTCAAGCTAGCTCGTATACCATTCAGCCACTAGGACTCCACCCGATTCAATGGCCAGACCATGAATTCTAACTTTTACCAATTCGTGATTTAGCGCGACTGGCACCAACCCATGCCATCGGTGGGAAATCCATCCTCACACTTGACTGGATGGACCTCACTGGTCACGACTTCTCACTAGAACTTCAGGAAACTCTGTCCTGTAGCAAGTCACTAGCGAGCATCAGATGGTGGTCGCGCAAATTCACGAATTGGTAGAAGTTAGAATTCATGGTCTGGCCACTGAATCGGGTGGAGTCCTAGTGGCTGAATGGTATACGAGCCAGCTTCACTTGTAACCGGAAGGTCGTGGGTTCGAAACCGTGGTCAACTCGTCAAAATACAAGTAATACCAATGAAAAGTGCAATAAAAGCAACTGTTTAATTTCCAAGATAAGGAGAGTGACTATACGAATTTCTTCTGAACACACAGATTTAACTTCTTCAGTTGGATTCCAGTGGCAACTACTGGATGTATAGGAATAACTTGTGAGTCAAAATTAAGATGAGTAGGGATAAACAAGGGCTCCTTGAATGTATGTTAACAAAGCATTTAAAGTTATCTATAATATTTCGGCTTTATGAATACGCCTTCTATATACAGCGGAAGCCAATGAAATAATTTGATTGGCGTCTGAGAAAAATGAACCGCACATAAAAGAAAATATAATAAATGCATTTAACAAATGTAAAGCTTAGAGCTTTATTATTATTAACAGAAAAAAATTAAACTGTGAATAGTAAATGGTATTAAAATAATAATATTAACAATAATAATTGGTTACCTCATTCCTCTAGAACCAAAATTCTGCATTGCTTCTAATTTTGCAGGTGATGGGATAAAGCCAATCTCACAGCCTTCTTTAACTAACCGACCAATCCACCATTCATTATTAAACTTTTCTTTAATATGCAGGAAATCTTTAACCTTGAATAGATGCATATAGATATATAGAGAACAATCAAATGAATATTAATACATTGCATCCTGTAATGTTTATTGAGAACACAAAATTGGATCTAAAACATGCCTTATCTGAATTGACCAGCTAGCATTTATGCAGACTATATCACAGTAGATATTCCCTATAAATTACTGAGTTTAGTAAATTTACAGCATAAAGTGTACACATTTTATAATCTAGGCTTCTCTCTTCAGCTACAGACAGACTAAAATTTGCATAGGATTAACGAAATAAGAACATACAATCTCTGTTCCATTCAGCAGCAGTTTGACAAGAACGTAACTGAATATTATAACAGTGGGTGAACTGTGATGGCATAATCAGTTACAAATGAAGGTACTTATTTATCCTAAGTTCGGAAGACGATTAGAGAAGTCTGCGACTCAAAGGTTCTCAACCCCTAATCTAATCGGAACGCTAAGCGGATACCACAAGTGAATTTACCATCATCAACAGACAAACAAAGAAAATCGACTTTACTTCATTTCGTTGAATTTGTTGCTATCAAGAGACTCAAATCCAATTTATGAATGCAGAAAGAAATCGTGATTAATTTCAGTTCACTCTGGTAACAATTTTTTATGTATCCTGATGCTTTTAGTACCTTTTGTTACTATCTTTATTATTAATGTTGTTAAAAACGCATTTTTATATTTTCGACCCAATGATTTCAACTCACTTTACTGGTTTCAAATCACTTCTGAAATCTTTTCTTGTATGTTAACTATTACGCAACCATTTTTATCTGTCTGTTGTGGAGTTAATCAGCGTTTTTATTGTTAAGTCAACTGCTAAAATATCTTGAATCTTCTGTCAAATTTAGGAGAAGTATTTCCTTTCATTTCGTGTTACTTGTGAATAGTTATACTATCATATTTCACAAATTACTGTTCCCCTTAACTACAATTTCGATGTGAAACTTCGGGTGAATAGAATTTAAAAACTTTGCGTTCTTGTGTTGCGTCGGTGGCAGAGAAGTAGAATGCTCGCCAACCACCCATGTGGCCCGGGGTGCAATCCCGGGGCGACGCATTCCCAAACCTCGTTAAGCCATTAATAAGACTGGTAAAGAGGGAAGGTTGGGCATGAGGTTAGCAACCCCATCCCGTAAAAATAAACACCACTGCTACCGAAACTGCAAGCCTGTAGCTTCAAGCTCCAAGGTTCCACCGGGAACGTGCAGGAACAAAACAAAATGTTCTTATGATGCTTACATTATGTATATTTTAGTCTTTATTTAGCTGAAGTGAAGCCCCGATACGAAATGTGAATATTTCTCAATGAAAGTTTTCTTCTTCTTGCTCTGTCAAAGATGATCAAGGGAATACGTTATATTTTGTTAAACCCATCGGTAAATTACCCCTAATTATAATTTGCGGGGGGTGGTGATTAGCACTGGAATCCAGAATCTACATTTCTTATTCAGGACTCATAGGTTGGATATATCTGAATTCCCCCGTGGGTGATGGCGTTTCTGCCGAGAATTGGACCACGAGAGTCACTTTTTGTCCAATGGATGCTAGTTATTATTTGTTTTTAATTCAATTCTGATTTTCTCACCAGTTGAATGAACCGAAATGTCTAGCCTCAGTTGACATGTCAGCTCCAGATGACAAGTCGCAAGAAGGACGAAATACGAATACTGGATTCCACTGCTTCAGGTTAATCCTAAGACATTGCCAAAATGTCTGTACTAGGAGCTGACACATTTCAGCAGCAGCCAAACATCGCGGTTCAATCAATCAATCAAAGGGGAAATTAAAGTTGACTTAAAAATAAATATCACGAGATATATTCAAATTAAATTCTAACATTCAAAATGCTTAACCAAAACAAGTGAGAATAAAGAGTATTCACCTGCTTGATTATACATCACTGTTATCAATACATACATTAAAATGAAGCTAGAAAACCCGCGAAATCTTCACATCTCTAACCATCGTTTCTTTACTACTATTTCAAAAGCTTTATGAAAGCAAAACATGAAGAGTACAGTCTTACGTGTGACAAATAAGTCGATAACAGAGGTATGCACTGATTCTTTAGAAAGTACGATGTTATTGGAAGTAAAATTAGATCAGAATAAAGTGAATAACGAAGTGATCAAGATGCTATACCAGTCTATAAACCTACTGATGGTTGCTTGTAGCTGTATTGGAAACTGTAAAACAACTGAAAGCATGATTAGCGATTCTGCTTGGAATGCCTAAGAGTTGACCACGTTGTCTCAGAGATCTTCATACCATTTATTTATTTTAAATATAATGTCACATTCCTATATTCAAGTACTTCTGTTTTATAGCATTTCAGAACTTTAGACATTATTTAGTATTTATATCAACTTTTGATGATATTAGATGGTTGTAGGCAGTCGCTAGGAAGTCTTGGATCTAGGTTTCGTGCTAGTGGGTACTTGCCAGCAAAGCATATCTGCAACCTTGAAGGAACTCATGTCCCTATTGAGATTCGAACGCGCGTCACCCAGTGCTGCAGTCTGAGATGTTACCACTGAGCTATTTGAGCTAGCGGTAGACCTCCAGCAGGACTGTAGTGGATACTTTTATTGGACAAGATTGCAAATTCGCCTTGCTGACTGGTGAGTGCCAACTAGCACGAAACCTAGTTCCAGGACTTCCTGTGGCCGATTGCCTCCAACTATCTAATATCACTAAATCAATGTACATCGTGATTACGAGCTACCTAGAATGGTGGTCACATTACAAACCTGACTGACTGACATGATTCAGTCTGCACCAAACAAAGCACTAGACACATCACACTCTTTACTAGTGTCCAATCAAAGCATCTATATCACCTGCTGATTTATAACGTGTTAAATAATGTGCAAAAGTGAATTGTGGTAATTCGACACCTCAAACAGTAATTGTAGAAGTCACGCTATTACTTATTTAAGTACGCTTATTATCAATACAACTTCAGCCAACATAATTTTGTACAAGAGAGCACATTATTCTATCTGCCGGTATTCTAATACCTTAAAGAATCAATAACAAAAAGACTTTTGATGAAAATGAACTGAAGAATTTACCTTCAACGATATTCTACAAAACAATGATGATATTACAACCACTGTGTTATTATCTATATCACAAGAATATCACAGCATCTAGGTTACGGAAAATAAAAATTCAGCGAACATGATCTGTTGAAAGAATTCATCGCTGACTTATTTTGTAGTGCAGTTTTTTGTCAAACATAGGCATCAAGTTATACGATGTAATTTGGATGTCAAACTAATGACTTTAAAACATCCTCTTTGTATTCACCTTTTACAGGCATAGATAGATATATTTCCAAGAATACTTGTGAAAAAGCTTTTGTCGATTTACCTTTCAATATATATATATATATATATTTGAAAGTTACACTTTCTTACCTGGAAGCTAACAGCCATTCCAGGGACTGGACAGTCATCTGATAACGATCCATGAAATGCAACATTTGTTCTCACTACAAAGACAACTTTGGATGTCTGGTTTAAAATAGAAAAACAAACGAAAAGATGAGATATATATAGAAAGAAAAAGAAACACACAAGACTGAAACGGTACAATATGAAACAAATTTGACCATCATTAATTAAAACATGAAATCACTAGTGACAGTTAACCATAAAGGAACCTATATGAACCTCTTATGCGATTTTCTAAGAGTAATAACAATAATAATACCGAAAAAGGCAAAAATAGTCTCAGGTAGTTTTTTTTTGAATTTAGAGAAAAACTAATTATAGGATATCTGTGGAGTCTATAACAATCAACTTCTATTTCATTTTTTGTTGTTGAACTATTTGTAAATCTGCCTAAACTTTAAACGATCCAAATAACTTCTCGAGTACTTGCATGTTATTATGTATCCTTATTATTATCACAAACAGTGACAGTTTCCGGTAGTCTTTCCGGACTTCTAGGGCGGGATTCGTGGGGAGTCTGTAACAATACGACTGTACATTTTTTTTGTTAGATGCTACAATTGGAAAAATTGTACACAACTTTTGTTTAAAACGGTTCATGTTGAAATATACATAACTGAGGAGTACAATCTAAAATACACTGTGCTGCTAGACGCTTCGTTTTCTCACTGGTCTATACTGTCTACTTGCTTCAATACTAACCATGATGTATGCTTTGGATTCTGCAGGAACCTCTCGTCCTCGTCCGAAGACTACTCTACAACCGGTGCACAGCTTCCATCGTAGACACGACTCCAGCAGTGAACACTATTGCGGATTATATTAATAATTTGTGGCAGTGGACTTTAACTGTACAACCAAGTAACTAATTAATATATATAACTCATTACAGTATTTTTATAATATACTATTACACTATCATTTTATTAACTTCGATTTTCCATTCTAATATTTGTTCTGTTACTGAGCTTGCTAGAAAGTCCCCCAAATATCATCCAAAAAGCTTAGATTTAGTAATATTCTTTCTTTTTTTCAGTCCTTTGTGTTACGAGTAGAACATATAGCTTCAAGCTTTGGGCTTTGGAGTTTCAATAGTAGTGGCTTTGTTCTTACAGGGTGGGGCTGATAGCATCGCCTCTAACCTTCTCTCTTTGCCTGGCCTACAATCAGCTAAGCGAGGTTTAGGATTGCGTTGGCTGAGAATCGAACCGGGACCACATGCGTGGTTGGTAACCACTCTACGAATAAAGCGCCGAAACGCAAGTTGTTATTTGGTAGAGTATATCTTTTCTTTACATCAAGACTACAGCTTGAACGGTTAGGCTTATGCATCGGATGCCTGATAGAAAATCTATCTGTTATACCTCTACGTATATGTAGCGCAACATCAAACAATGACGTCAACAAAGAATACGTTCAAACACTAGATGGCCCCAACTTTTCAGAGGTAATGTGATTCACTAAACTTACCTGACATACTATGTTTAACAAAATCATGAATAACTTTAATAACTTTAAGAAAAGCTTAAATAATGCAAAGAATAATAACTAAATTTAGGAAACAAAACTTGGGTCACTAGCGATATTTAGATGGGTGTGTGAATTTCTACTAAATGGGATGGGCCAAACTGCTGGTATCAATTAAGTTTAAAGTATACTTCAATAATCCAATCACAACATCTTACTTCTTAAGAATGAATCACTGATCCGACAGTTAAAAAGATAATTAATATAAAAGACTTGATTATTTAAAGGAGAGAACATCTTGTGTATTGGTATTAGCGGTATCTGTATGTCCCAAGGTAAATTTATCATTAGAGTTTAATAAAACCGTACATATAGAGAATTTGAATATTTTTTCTCTTCACACATGAGTATCATTCTAATACAAAAACTGAAATGCGCAAGTCATTATTTTCTTCACTTTCATTATTTCAAACCCATATTGTTAATTTTAAAACCATTTTCAAACTTATTGCATCCTTTCGTCAGATCACTTTCTCTGCTGTAGACCGTGTAACTTCATTAAAATCCTTTCAAAAATGAAATTATATATCAGACATTGTAAACAAAACACCTTTGCTTGTCTGGTACTAATAACAGATCTCTAAACAAAAATGCTACGCGTTGTTTCGTCAGCGGCATATGTTGTAGATATACTAATCTGCATTCAAAGCAGTCACTTAGTATGAAATTTATGGTGCATATTCAAAAGAGTGAGTCAGATGTACAACCAACAACGCTGTAAATATTATAAACTGAGAGGATGAAATAAAGAGACAAGTTGCCACACTCCATGTAGTACATAAAAGTAAACGAAAGAGATCCAGAAGAACTATAAGGAGCATGAATGTACGGGAGAGAGAGAAAGAATAGCAGCATGGAAAAACAAGAGGGTTTAATGGAACTGGGAGGACACAAAGAGTGAATGCACCTGCACTATTGAGAACGATTTTGAGCCATATCATCAATAGTCTCTAGGCTTTCGTTTTTAGAGTCCCAACGATCCCAACCAGGTAGTCTTCACTTTCCTATATGGCACAAACCAAACGTCAAAGTCTGCGTGTACTCATGTCAGATTTTGATTTGACCACTCGTAGCTTTCTCTTTCCAACCAAATTCTGTCGGTTAACATTGCTTATCAAGTAATGCGGTGACTCGGCATGCGTAACAAATGTCCAAATCATCTCAGTCTATGTGACTTCACTATTTCATCGACTAACTTACCCTCGTTACCTTATAATCTACACCTGCCCTAAATATTGCTCACCGCATTATACAACTTCGCACGGAAGATAGAGTGCACACATCTACGATCAAAGACAGCCAGAGACTTCATATCTTTCAATTTTAATGGCCATATATATGTCTCGCATAAAACATAAAAATACTGTCATGTACATTAAAATATAAAGTTTTTCAATAAGCAAAAAATACCTTGGCTTTTTCAAGAAGTGCTCGTGCTTGTTCTTCAGTTTCCTGACGTGCATTCTCCTCTTTGTAGTCATCCTCATCATCCTCATCTTCTTCTTCCTCTTCATCTTCTTCTACTCTATCACAATATTCTTCATCGTCAAAATCATCGAAATCATTCCCAGCAAATTCACTCTCTGAATACCCGCGTTCATCAACCATTGGCTACTAACAGCCTAATGAATATAAAATTCAAAATAAATAAATTTCAAGTTAGAGTATTATAACAGAGGACATAATAAAAGACAATAATTTCCCATTACATCTACAGAAACTAGCCAAACGAAATAACGATCACTGCGCAAAGCTAATAGATATTTGCCGAAAAAGAAAAGAAACTATTCAAGAATGTTTAATACAAGATCGCTATAATATGTATTTAGAATTGAATAAATAACCCAGAAATGTGAAGATCACTGTGAAGTACGGAATTAGAAACTTTCTAAAAATAAAAAAATCCACAGTGACAGCCCCAATAAATCCGAAAACAAGTGTGAAACTTTCTTTACGACTATGCTCACCAAATGATCTAAAACACAAAAAGTAAAATACTACACTTGCGACTTCAAAGGAAATTAAACTTTTTAGAACAAGAAAACAATTGAAAGAGAGATTGAGAAAATGTACTAAATCTATAACTCTACGACAATTATCACTGCTATTACAGCACTTAAAAGAGCTGATGTTCAACCATAATAAGCAAAAACACCATGTAAAACCAGTCATAAATAGCAATAGCAACAAACAGTCCTCCACTCTAAGTTCGAAATAATTAATTTTTTCAAACTTCCCCGAACGTGTAACTATCTGCACAACATTAACAATCCGAAAACTCGGAAACATCACCAGATCCGGAAAGACTTCGTAGCCATCATATTAATGTGTAACTAGTTGGGAAGCTTTATAAATAATTTGCGGTATAAGGTACAGTAATGAAACATGCGGAAACAGCTAGGGATGGTATGAGAATACGCACTCGACATAAACAGATACAAATGAAGAAAGTCGCGCGTAAAAATGAATAGCATCATCTCAAATGATTTATACTTCACGTAGGAGGTACTGGGCTTCAAGGAAACACCATCGACCTATTAAAAAAGTATCCCTCTCAATATACACAACAATTAAAATAATTTCCACAAAAAACTTCTCAGCGACACCATCATCAAAAAAAGAAAAAACACGAGCATCTCATCCAAAGTAGCCGTGATACCAATAAAAGGAATAGTAAATTATCACCAAAAAGATTTATAAACACATGTTTATAATATATATACATATACATATATATATATATATTCCAAAATACTCAGCAAGTAGACGAAAATTTTCACCGTTACTCTGAGTAAAAGCTGTAAAACTCATTTTGAATACAACTCTAAACAAAAGATTAGACAGCGATTATTAAAATTCCAGAGACAACACACACTGAAGTAAGGCTCAACCTATCGCACACTGTAGAACTTACAATGGACAGTGATGACACTTGACAGTAAAGAAAGCGAAATAAGATCATAAGCCCACAATAGAGGTAATATGTTCACGCGTTATCCCATTAATTGCAATGTTGAAATGCAAGACTTCACTATCACGCCTAAGCAAGAATAAAAGATAACGACTCTTCCATCTCTAACTCATACAAAAACAAAATGAAAGAGAAAACATCTAAGCTTAATGCCCTTTAGAGTTACACGAATAGACACAATTCACCCGGATAATATTATTGTGTAGCGATTTGGCCTGGCAACTGACTTTCAAGAAGACTCATTGTTCAAATACAAATTCGTCCAATTCAGGTTGAGAAACCGGGTGTTACGGTCATTTCTCACAAAATAAGTATGGCTCATAGCTAGGTATATTAAACGTTTGTTCTAAGCAACTGAATGCTAGAAGGAACCAAATGAAAACTAAAGTACCTTGGTTTTCTGCTTACTGGCACACCCAACTTAAAACGATCTTTTTCAGAGCAACCCATAACTTTAAAATGAATTGTGTTCTTGTGGTCACGCAGCAATCTCACAAACCGATTGCATTTGTGATAATCATCTGCTTAATTCCAAAACGGTACTTATAATACAGCATATTCTCAGCATTCATTAGCTATTACTGACACTTAATATGATATATCATCAAAAAGCTTGTGCAATACACTATTGAGAATGAAATTCGACCAATAAACACCTCGATAACATGAAAAATAACTCCCAACCGCACATTTCTAACATGAAATCAGAAACATACCGATTACTTTTTCAAAAGTAGCTCAACAAACAGTACATCGAAAAGTAATAGTGTTTGCTCAGTAAAACAAACTACTCAGAAACACACTGTTCACGGAAGCACTCCTGAACCAGTCTAAGTCGTCCACTTCATTTTTGTTTTGGTATCCAAAATCGTTTTTACGAGCTAGTATAAACTAATTTGATTTCTTTGTGCTCTCCTCTTGATTGTGAGGTATAGGTTCCTGATTTTTGGTAAACTTCCGCGTTGCTCGTCCCGCCACTCGACTGTCGTAGCTTTGGTTGACTCCAAAATTAGTAGTGCAGGGATTAAGTTTATGTTGTTTGTAGCATGAGATATGTTAAGACTGTTACTACTGTGAATGGAGTTGATCCTTTCACCAGTTAGTCCTCCGGTATCGTCGTCAAAGAAAAGAGATAATAATAGTGCGTCGGTGGCACAATGGTTAGGACTCTCGCCGACCATGCACATGGTCCGGGGTTCGATCCCCTGCCGGCGCACACCCGATATCTATGGTCGGCCTGAATTTGGGCTACCGATATCCATGCTGAAAATTCCACACTTGTACTGAAAATACGGTGTGGAATCAAGCTGTAAATCAAAAAAAAAAAATCAAAAATGTTAATAATAATAATAGATATAATAAGTGAAGTTATTGAGACTAACAGGTAGAAAAAGAATAAGAAAACGTAACAACAATCAGATGATTAAATTTGAAGAATAATATGAATTATATATATATATCGTTAAAAAGGATAATAATAATAATAGTAGGTGTAGTTAAATCTGTCTGGAGAGTAAGACGGTAGAGAATGTAAGGAAGTTAAACAACAAGTTTATTTGTCTACCCCTGAATGGTGTGTGCGATTTTAAGGGGATAGGCCATTTGGATGCAGTCCTTGTGTCTCTGCATTGTTGTCCAGCCTTCACCTAATGTCGTCCACAGACGGTGCCATAGCTACATCTGCCGGTAAGGAATTCCAGGGACAGCAAACCCGCAGGGAAAAGAAGTGGGAGTGCAACCGGGTCCTTGCCCTCTGGTGAGCTATCCTTCTAGGATTTTCACGAGGGAGCCTATACCTACTCAATGGCAGAACACCTTTGTTTGGGTGACTGTGATCATTTGTTATTTTGTAGGGAGTAATTAAATTCCCCCTAAGACGACGGTAGCTAAGTGTGAATAGGCCTAATTTCTTCAGCCTTTCATCATAGGGTTTATTTCGGAGACCAACCACTCCTTTTGTTGCCCGTCGTTGAACTCTTTCCAAGAGGTTGGCGTCTCTTCTAAGCAGTGCGGGTGCAATAATATTATGCACTTCAAGGTGTGTTCTGAAGTACGTTTTGCACAACCTCAGAAAGAGCTCAGGAGTGAGTACACCTAATTGTCTATGTGTAAAGTGTATGACCGCATATGCCCTCGCTACATCGCCCGTGTATTTACGCTTGTGTCCATTTTCCCCGTTAGAACTAGACCTAAGTCGCGTTCCGACGTTGTGCAGGACAAGCTTCCATTGCACAGGTTTTAACTTGCATTCTGCAGTCTACAGGTGCGTAATTTCAATACTTTGCACTTTTTCAGGTTGAAAGTCATTCCACTGGTTACCGCCCAGTCTTCCAGAAGCCTTAGATCTGCCTGCAGCCTATCTGAGTCCTCCGGACACTTTACCGCCCTCCATATCTTTAAGTCATCAGCGTATAGAAGAGTCGGGCAGTTTAGACGGCATGGTAAATCATTGATAAAAATCAAGAACATCAGTGGTCGTAGGATAGAACCCTGCGACACTCCTGATGACGAGCTGTGCCTAGATGATCGGACTCGAATGACCTTAGTGCCAAATTGCCTTTCACCTAGGTAGTCCTGTAACAATGACAGAAGTGGCTTGCCTTTACCTGCCTGGCTTATTTTGTGTAGGAGGAGGTCATGGTGAACATTGTCGAATGCCTTCTCAAAGTCTAGGAAGACCACATGGACTGGAACATTCATATCCCAGCATGATGTCCAATCGTCCCAAGCTGATAGTATGTTAGTAACGCAGGATCTCCCTTTCCTGAAACAGTGTTGGGCTTCATGGAGTATATTAGACCTATCGAGATATTCCTTGATGTGGTCATCAATAATACTTTCCAGTACCTTTGATACCACTGGTAGTAGAGCTACTGGTCTGTAACTAGTGGGATTTTGCCTATCCCCACCCTTGAAGATCGGAGAAAGGATGGCTCTTTTTCACTCCCTTGGCAGTTTCCCTGATTCCATGAAGTGTTTGAACAAGTCGCATAAGGGCTGACAGAGAGCTTCGGCGCATTGTTTCAGAACAAATGGCCTGATGTCGTCACAACCTGGGGACTTCCCAGGTGTGAGTCGCTGTAGCTTCCTTAGTACTATTGAGGGGTTTATTTGGAGAGTAGCCACTAGGTCTTCCTCCTGTGAAATAGTAGTGCCACCATTTTGCTCCGTAACGGTAATACCCACATTGCTGTTTAGCTGTTTGGCGAAGGCTAAACTAAATGTTTCAGCCATCTCCAGACCAGTGAGATGTTAACCGTTTGTGCCTACTAAGGCGCATGCCCTCTGGTTGGTTGATTTTCTTTCGGAAATGAATCGGTACAAGTTTTTTGGGTTTCCTAGGAGTTTTTAGCAAGGTTAGCCTGGAATGACCTGCTATCCCTCTTGACTGTTGCATCGCACCGGTTCCTGATTTCCAGGTATGCATCGTGGTCGATCTGTCTCTTAGACACGTGCCACGTAAACCAAGCCTCCCGCTTTGTTTGCAGAATACGTTGCGTGCCTCTCTTTAACCATAATGACTTTCTTTTAGGCTGTGTTGTGACTTAAGGGACGGTATCCGAGATTACTGTATGAATAATCTTTTTTACCACCTCCCAGTGTTCATCCACAGGTAGCTCATCCCATGATAAGGGCCAGTCTGTGTCGGACAAGAGCCTCCGCATTTCAGCATAGTCAGCCTTGCCGTAACACAGACATGGTCGCGTAACGTCCCACTGCAAATGCTCATGGAAAACGAGATCGAAACCTTTGACTGCATGGTCACTACTTCCTAGAGGAGTCATAATCTGGACCTTTACGTCAAGTAGTTGGTCACTAGTTAGAATGTAGTCTAGTTTTGATGACTTTCCACTAGGGCCCCACCTAGTGTCTTCTCCAACATTCTCAGTCAGTCCCGTGTTTCGAATAGTTTGCAGTAGATTTCGGCCAAATTTTCCCTTGGTACACCCCGAGCAAAGGTTCAGTGATGGGGCATTGAAATCTCCCGCTATGGTGAATTGGTCATAGCCCAAGTCTCTTATCCCTTTGATAGTGCTGAGCAGTAGCTGATTGTGCTCTGCCTCACAGGAGGGAGATCGGTAGATGCCACCCAGTAAATGCCTGGTGTGACTAACGGTGAAATGACACCATATGGAGTCTGGGAGTTCAATAAGTAGTGGGTCCGTTGCGCGTACACATTTAAGTTGCCTCTCAAAGTATATAGTAACTCCCACTCCTTCCTTATTACCCCTGTCTCTCCTGACCAAAACCACATCACCTATACTGAATCCGTTATCGGCGGTGAGAAAGATCATTTTCATTTGTAGGTGTGATTGGAGATTTCTGAGTTCGCCTATTTTTACCCTCAGCCCTCTCACATTGCTATAGAGGCAGCTGACAGTGAGTCTTACAACCTCACCCTGTTGTCGGGTAGTTGACGTGAAGCTGTCTGCTGGTAGGGGACTCAATGTTGGGACTAGTTGGCCGGTTCCGATGGAACATCCTTATGGGTCGAGGTCTACTTTCGCAGTATCGGATGTGTCCTCTCATTTTTCGCTTGCTCTCATACTACCGTTGAAGCGCTATGGTCATCTGCTCCGGGGAGTTGAATGTGATACTTAGCAGCTTTGGAGGGCTAATCAGGTTTCACTACTTCATATAGCAGAAACCTCAATTTGAAGCGTTGGTGGCACAGCGGTTATGATGCTCGCCAACCATGCACATGGTCCGGGTCACGATCCGTGGCCGACGCACACCTGATACCTATAGGCGGCCTGCCAGATTCGGACTACTGATATCACATACTGAAAATTCCATACTTTTACCAAAATACTGTGTGGGATCAAGTTATAATAATAATTATTATATAATTAATTTCAGAATGAAATATAATTCTCTGCTTATCATTATTCCCTTGAGTTAGACCTTCAACAACACACCTCACTTTTGTCCTGTTTTCTGCCAGGACTGCAGGTGAACATTGAGAAGAGGCGGTGATGAAGATAATAGACCGACGACGACAACAACAACAACCAGCACCAATCACCATCAACAGAAGAGAAGGAGATGAGAGTTTGAGCAATCGTGGACCCAGATGAAGGGGATGGCAGAAAACAGGACAAAAGTGAGGTGTGTTGTTGAAGGTCTAACTCAAGGGAATAATGATAAGCAGAAAATTATATTTCATTCTGAAATTAATTATATAATAATTATTATTATAACTTGATTCCACACAGTATTTTGGTACAAGTATGGAATTTTCAGTATGTGATATCAGTAGTCCGAATTTGGCAGGCCGCCTATAGGTATCAGGTGTGCGTCGGCCAGGGATCGTAACCCGGACCATGTGCATGGTTGGCGAGCATCATAACCGCTGTGCCACCAACGCTTCAAATTGAGGTTTCTGCTATATGAAGTAGTGAAAGCTGTGGTATTATGTTTGTACCAAAACAAAAATGAAGTGGACGACTTAGACTGGTTCACGAATGCTTCCGTGAACAGTGTGTTTCTGAGTAGTTTGTTTTACTGAGCAAACACTATTACTTTTCGATGTACTGTTTGTTGAGCTACTTTTGAAAAAGTAATCGGTATGTTTCTGATTTCATGTTAGAAATGTGCGATTGGGAGTTATTTTTCATGTTATCGAGGTGTTTATTGGTCGAATTTCATTCTCAATAGTATATTGCACAAGCTTTTTGATGATATATCATATTAAGTGTCAGTAATAGCTAATGAATGCTGAGAATATGCTGTATTATAAGTACTGTTTTGGAATTAAGCAAATGATTATCATAAATGCAATCGGTTTGTGAGATTGCTGCGTGACCACAAGAACACAATTCATTTTAAAGTTATGGGTTGCTCTGAAAAAGATCGTTTTAAGTTGGGTGTGCCAGTAAGCAGAAAACCAAGGTACTTTAGTTTTCATTTGGTTCCTTCTAGCATTCAGTTGCTTAGAAAAAACGTTTAATATACCTAGCTATGAGCCATACTTATTTTGTGAGAAATGACCGTAACACCCGGTTTCTCAACCTGAATTGGACGAATTTGTATTTGAACAATGAGTCTTCTTGAAAGTCAGTTGCCAGGCCAAATCGCTACACAATAATATTATCCGGGTGAATTGTGTCTATTCGTGTAACTCTAAAGGGCATTAAGCTTAGATGTTTTCTCTTTCATTTTGTTTTTGTATGAGTTAGAGATGGAAGAGTCGTTATCTTTTATTCTTGCTTAGGCGTGATAGTGAAGTCTTGCATTTCAACATTGCAATTAATGGGATAACGCGTGAACATATTACCTCTATTGTGGGCTTATGATCTTATTTCGCTTTCTTTACTGTCAAGTGTCATCACTGTCCATTGTAAGTTCTACAGTGTGCGATAGGTTGAGCCTTACTTCAGTGTGTGTTGTCTCTGGAATTTTAATAATCGCTGTCTAATCTTTTGTTTAGAGTTGTATTCAAAATGAGTTTTACAGCTTTTACTCAGAGTAACGGTGAAAATTTTCGTCTTTCTGCTGAACTTGATGTAGTATATTTCTATGTATTATCTATATTACCGATATGTTATCTTGATCTCACTATAGATGTGTATCAGGACGTGAACTTATCTTTGGTGATTCTAGTGAAGGCTTTCAGAATTGTTCAGAAGGATATGAAACTGCGTTCAGCTACTGCGTTTCAGTGACAGTCGTGACATACTATGACACCTAAATCCTAATGAATCAGGGCTGACGAGATTGCTATTCTTTCTAGTTCATTGGAGCTGGCGATTGCGAGTCTAGTGCGCATGGTTGCATATTTCGCTACATTGATCGCGAGCATCCATTCTCTGGACCACTTTGACAATTTGTGGAGGTCTTCTTGCAAAGTGAGAGTATCACTGTCTCCCCTCAACTATCTCCAGACTTTTTTGTCATCTCCGCATAGGACCATTGGGGAATCCGTTCGCACAGACGATTACTTGATACACAAAATAAATAGGAGAGGCTTGAGTACCGTGCCTTGTGGCACTCCGCTACGCACTACTGTACAGTAGGAGAGTTTTGAGCTGATTGTGACCCTTAATCCAGTTTAGTAAGCTGTCTCTGATACGAAGACTTTTCAACTTCATGAGTAGGCTTTTGTGAGGACCTTTATCGAAGGCTTCGCTGAATTTTATAGTGATGAAGTTGACGCGTCTTCTGTTGTCCCTTGACGTGACTTAGCTTTCTCTTGCAGTGAGAAGATTTGAAAGGCATGGGAGGTTTCCTCGGAAGCCATGCTGTGCTCTGGATAACAAGCTGTTGTTTTCCTCATATTCCAAAACAGCTTTCTTGATGATTCTTTCCAGTGTCTTGATTAAGGTGCTGGTGAGACTAATAGGTCTGTGGTTTGAAGGGCATTGTCTTGATCCTGCTTTGTGGACGGGGGCTTCTATGGCGTCTTCCCAGTCGCGCAGTAACACTCCATTTAGGTGAGATAGCTTGAAGATAGTGGTCAGTGGGCCGGCTGTTCGAGCTGATAGCTCCTTGAGAAGCATTGGATGATGATTATCGGGACCCATAGATTTCCCTGCATCTAGTTTCATTAGGCACTTGAGCACAATTTCTTGGTAAACATCAACAGAATCTGATGCAGTCAGAGCTGATCCTCCGAGCATCTAATTTCGACATTTCACAGGGCATCATGACGGCAAGCCACCTAGCTTGGTGGGCACATTGCAAACTTGAATGTTATATTACACTAGTTGTGAACTTATATCCAATCAAAATACTATATTCTTTTATCAATTTTCAATCTTACCTGTGAGTGTACATTAGCATATAGCTGCATCTGGTTTTGAAAACTGAGTTATAACTGCAGGATTCAGTATCAGATTGGTTTATATTACAGACAGTGTGGTGTTTCAATGATAATTTTTCAATTTGATAGGGTACCTATTGTTTTCAGATATCTAAGTATTCAAGCTTTCTCTCTTTCAACCTGAAGTTGTAATTATACTAATAGGAAGTAAATTTAATAAAACTGCTGTTCAGTTTTCATGAAAAATTTTGTTTCTATTTAGTTTTCTACCTGCTTTTTAAGCAGTGATTTTGTTTCTATAAAGAGAGAGTAACTAACCTAATTTGGCTTCATATTGCAAGTACATTTTTTCAGTAAATTTAGTTTCTTCACACACTGGTGGGAAGGCTTTCAGCTCATTTGTTTTATAGCTCTTCTTAAGTTACCTGTCTCTTGTTTTTCTTATATGTGCTGAACATACGATAAACCTATTGTTAGTGACAAATCGCTTATTACTTGAGTTACAAAATACTTAAAATAAATATATTTTGATGGACATTGGGTTTAAACTCTGCAAACATACCTTGTGTACATCATTGGATGAGTCCGTACATGAGACATAGCTTTTTATAACGTAGCTAACCGGTAGAAATAATAAATTCACTACTATTCCAATGGTTTTGTAGTAAAAAGCATGCCAATCATTTCTCGCCCGTACTTTTTGAATAACAATGAGGTATAATTTTATCTACTTATTCATGAAATAAAATGTAGATACATGCATCCATTGTATCATGAATTGGTTGATTTTGCCTAAAATTAGTGGCCTGTAAGTCATTTTGTCTTGTGCGTCGGTGGTACAGTGGTTAGGACGCTTGCCGACCATGCACATGGTCCGGGGTTTGATTCCCGGCCGACGCACTCCTTTACCTCGCTAAACCAGAAATATTGCTGGTAAAGAGGAAAGGTTGGGCATGAGGCTAGCAACCTATCTGTGAAATTAAACATTGCTACGAAACTTCAAGTCACTAGCTTGAAGCCCTATGTTCCACTGGGAACGTGAAGGAAGAAAAAAAGAAGTCATTTTGTCTTACTATCTGAATGAGTTTTTTTTCACCAGACTTCTGTTTAAAATTTTGCAGTATTTAAAACAAATATTTTATTCATTGGAGTAATAAATGCTGTTTTCTTCAAGAAAATACCTTCTGCATTTATCGTAAAGACTTCATAAATAAATGACTTACGGCTTGTTTATTATTTCTATTTTGTTTTAGATGTAATACACATCCAAGATGTCGGAAATGTCTATTCGCGTTCAAACTTATCTAGTATTGGGTGTTATGATAGCATGCTTCTCTATACTCTATCCAAAAATTTTTCATCCAATGCTTATGCATACACTGGGTCTTACAAAAAGTAAAAATAAGGAAGAACAAATTAATTTTGAAAATTTTGGACCAAATGTATGTTTTAATGTCTTACTTATCTAAAGCTAATTTTTTTAGGGTCATCTTCCACCTAGACCACCCATCAGACCAACGGAGGGGACTGTTCACCAAGATCAGGGTAAAAGAGGCGGTATAATGTCAATTGTTCTGCCTGTTTATGCGATTGGTATAATTTTGTATTTGGTATATACACTTTCAAAGGTGAGATGATTTCCGTGTTGTTGTTTTTTTCTTCACATAATTTTATACTGCAGATTGTTTTATGACCAACTTAAATTGTAATTCAACAGAACTAAAATTTGATGTCTCTATCAACATGAGATAAACTAGACTAATTTTTATCCTGGCTGGACGTGTCCACGGTTACTCTTTTTCTTTATTAAGTAGTTTGTGAGGAATTGATTTGTTTAGAGACATTTTGATTGATACATGATGTAGCTTAGCAATCATCAAAAGCCAAGGAGCATTACACAGCTGAATATAATCCTTATTCTTATAGTATGAATTTTAAATTAGACAGAGTTTTATAAATTTATGTTCTGCTGTTAGACGGTCCAATACGACTTAGATGATTTTGATTATCACTGCCTATCGGACAATATTTAGGTTGTGTATGTTAGTAAGTATATCACTTACAACAGCTGTTGATGCTTTTCAACCAGATTGACTGTGGGGTGTCTGGGAGTTATTTTGAAAATAAATTAATGTCCTTTTACTTCCAATAGAATATGAAATCATTAGCGCTACAGATTTGTCTATCACGTGAATGTGTCGAAAGTAAAAAGTAAACTGATCACTATAAACGTTTATATTTAATACTTTTGATAATTTCATTTTTTTTCAAACGATCCAGGGATGCGGAATTCATTGTGTTTTAGCGTGCTACTCTTCAGCAGTAGTGCAGATTCTTGACCACACCAAGGATCCAATCAAAGACCTTCTGGTTACGACGACAGCGAATTGATTTAGGTTAGAATTTACGGGTCACTGAATTCCAGCCCAATGGTGGAATGGTTGACAGAGTAGTAGCCTTATAATCTGAAGGTCTTGGGTTCGATCCCCGGTGGGTTCATGAGTGCACACTGCTGAACAGTCAAAAATCACGACGAAACGGCTGTCTAGTACTCTTTGATTTTCTGTGGTTCTCTAACTAGTACCGGTTCATAATGAAATCTACATTGAAACATTGGATACGATTGCATATTTTTTGAAAACTAATTCATTAAGAAGAACTTCTTTTTTGATCACACTTAGCTGGTAAACTTAATGTAGTTATAAAGAATTATTGCTGAAGTAATAGACAACTTTTTCAAGGTATCACTGCATTTTCAAAAAATCCGCTTAGGTTTTTTCATCGAAACGTCGAAAGAATTCAAATAAGAAGGAAGAATTTCTGCGACATTATTATCGTGATTTTCATTATGATGTTGATCGAGGCAAATTTCGTATGGGTTGTGATTCATCAGACGATGACGATGATGACGGAGACAGTGATGGAAAGACAAATCCATTTCAAACTTTAGACTTTTCAAGCTCAAGGAAATCAGCTACTGGTAGGTTGTATAACATTTTTTATTACTATAGTCAAATGAAATTTGTCTGTTTACATACTTTATTAAACTTAAAACTGGTGGTATAAGTTGTGAAATACGAAATTACTTTATCTCACCAAGTTTTCTTTAGCTGCCTCCTGCGTGTATAATAGTGCATTAGTGGACCAGTGAGTGATGGAGTCCTCGCCAACCTCGAGCGTGATCCGATTTCGATTCCCAGCCGACGCACTCCTAATCCTCGTTTAGCTGATGATAAGCCTAGCAATGAGGGGCGTGAGGTTAGCAGCCTCACTCCACAATAAAAGCAACACCCTTGCTCAAACTTGAAGTCCTATGTTCCACTTGAAATCAAAAGAAATGAAAAAAACGTATATGGCAGCTAAACACCACGATACAACAAAATTTTGATTTCCACCTATTCTGAATGTATCACTGATATGCATAAGGAGTATTGGAATAGGATGTCAAGTAACTGATAAACTTCTACATATAAGTATGCTGTTCAGTCAAAAAAAGTTGGTTTTAGATAGATATTTAATCTAAAATAATCAAAACAGGAGTCAACTGATACCAATTTATGTATTCCAACCGATGGTAGAAGCTATGTAGAAGGTTTGAGCGTGGGTTATACAGTTCTTATAGCTTGCTTATATGATTGTGGGTGGTTTTCAGTGGTCTTAACAGACATATTGAAGATATTCATATATTAAATTGGTTGGCAGGGGGAATTATTTCATTTAATTGGTTAGATGTTAACTTCGTTTATAGGCGTCTGCGTCCAATAGTGTTGCTATGCATGCTACTCTTGCCTATAATAAAGCGTTTTGGCTAGTCTTGTATGCGAGATGGGTTCTGTTAGGCCTATCTATGCACTGCATAACTGACTGATGCTATCATTGATCTGGGTAATTATGCCTACTTATACATTAATATGTGTATTAATGGTGGGAATGGTCCACTGGGGGACAGGGCTCTTCGACTGGTTTCGCCGAAGGATGATATTGCATGCTGTTCTGGCCTGGCAAGACTTTGGAATGAGTGCGTCCTGTTCTCCTGAAAACCAATGTATAATTACCCAGTCAATAGCTGTGTCATTGTTGCGTCGGTGGCAGAATGCTCACTAATTACGCAGTTGATCCGGATTTTATACCTGGTTGACGTACTCCTAAACATTGTTTAACTGGTGATAAACTCAGTAAAGAGAGAAGGTTGGGTGTGAAGTTAGGAACCCAACCCCGCAAAAAAATATCACTGCCCCCGAAACTTAAAATCACTTGGAATGCGAAGGAATGAAAAATCCATTGATAGGTTCTGCTGTGCTTTTCATTTATCTTGAACTTCAAGGCCTCAATATGTACTGATGAGTTAGAGAAATACAGAGTCTTTACAACTTAAAAGCGAACAGTGATTCGTTCGTATTTTACTTTTAATGAACTGATATTGGCTTATTACTTTTCTGTTTGCATTCAGATTCAAAAAATAAACCATTTGAATGGGGCTCAGTTTTCAAAGATACTTCATATCCAGATATATATCGGTCAGCTAGAAGTTTACCTAAGGATTTGGGAAAATTACTCATGAGAATGGAACGACAAGATTTAGGTAAGTTTCATTTTATTCCATTTTATAAAATATTTAAGTAAATTGGCTATCAAAAGACCTATTATTTAGTACACTCTGCAAGAATAACTTTTGGATACTCTGATAGAATGCAGTTCCATATTACATAAGTTTATTTGATATAACATGTAGTGATAAAGCTTTAATAACTTGATTTTTTCCAGAGTTGCATTAACCGGAATGTTATTGATTAAACTAATCAAGAGAATCACCCCACGAACTGTCGCATTCTTTGTGCAAGGTCTGGGATACCAGTCAGACTCCCAGACCGAAGCATGTGATTGTCTCAAGGGGTCACTCCCTGAGTCTTTCACTTGAAGTCTGATTCACATGGCAGTAGAGCAGCGTCAGGAGCTACGTTCCTATGGTTTCCAGTGAACAAAACAGGGTCATACACCATTCGGCGCTTTCGTATTCTAAAGCCTATGTACACCACTGGTTTGCGTCGATGGCACAGCGGTAGAATGCTCGCCAACCACGCATGTGGCTTGGGGTTCGTCTCTCGGCCGATTAACTCCATTGCCTCACCTGGCCGGCAGTAATCCTGGTAAAGAGGGAAGGCTGGGCATGAGGCTAGCAACCCCATCCCGTAAAATATCACTGCTACCGAAACTTCAAACCTCTTGCTTGAAGCCCTATGTTCCACTGGGAACGTAAAGGAATAATAAACGAACACCACTGGTTTGTCTTCCATAGTTAGACCAACATGTCTGCCAGTTCGATTGTAATCAATTGCATTATGAGTTTTAATTTTGTGAGGAACACTATTATCATGTGAATACAGTGGATAGGACTTACCTGAGAGAGGCTATGAACATATGGCCGCATGACAACACTTCGAGAGGAAGACCGAAGTGGACCCATCCTACTTTTGCCGGGTTGTTTATTGGGGCTTTAGACTCAAATAAACTGACTTCAATTTATGTAAAAAGGTTTTGACTATATATTTTGATGATTAATAAAATCCGAATCATTCTTCTGAAGGAACTGTGGCTTACACAGCGAAACGTTCAAAAAAGTCTTGTTTTGGTTGTTTTCTTATACACGCTGGGATTAATTTAAATAATTTATAATGAATCAATATGATTCGGCGCTCGAACTATTACAGGAAGTTCGTAACGTCTACGGTCTAGAAACTTATGGTCAATTCTTAGTTTATACATACTAGTGTACTGCTGTAAATCGTGGTCTGTATACCAATGAGCCCTTCTTTCAATTCAATTTGAAGTTCGTTATTGTATGGAATAGACTTCTCGGCATGAATTTTTGGATAGATAGAATACCACATTTTCTTTACGACTGCCTGACTTATACATTGCTTCAGTACCTCTGAAAGAAATTTGTTTTCTGCATTTGTTTCACTGAATGCCCTAATATGTTAATCTGCGGTAAAGTCACTATTAAGTAGGTGTGCTGTCAAGTGTTGTTTGTGTTACGCTGGACTGGGATGCTGTGGATATTTAAGAATTCCCATGTCTAAGCAAACTTGCTGTAAAATAAGTGCCCTAATAAGATGATCTGAAATAATAGAGAAGATTTGTAGCTCACGTGTATGATTTGCAATAATTAGTGTTCTCTGAGCTGGTTGGTTTAGTTGCGGAGCTTTCGTCGTCCTTCTGGACAACATCTTCAGCGCAATTTTAGCATAAAGTGAACTGATTTAAATTTTCCATGAGTGATAGAATTGCGTCTCCCGGTAACCATCTTTACATATGTATTGACCATTTTCTATTGACTTGGATTTCAAACTTTCTCGACACATGATTTACTTTTTATTAGTTGGTATATTTCGTCTATATTAAAATGTTTGTTAATCGTATATTCGTTTGAGTACCAGGCTTCTAGGAATTCCCTGGCACTTTTGGTGTTTCCTCTGTCTAAAATTTCGACATTATCCCAATCAAATTGATGTCCATAATTATCTATATGCATTGATATGAAAGAATATATATCATGTCTTTTCACGGCTGATTTGTGTTCTTGGATTCTAATTCGAAGGGGACGCCCACTTTGGCCGATGTAATGCTTGTTACAGTTCATACAATTTATTTTGTAAATAGTATTAATTTTATCCCCTTTTTCTGTTGGATCTTTTGGTTTGCATAATATCGAATTAAGCGATTTTACTGGCTTGTGTGCTATATCTATATCAAACGGTTTCAATATTCTAGCTGTTATTTCAGAGATATTTTTTATATATGGTAGGATGAATTTTCTTGTGTTCTTTGATGATGGTTCCTTGTTGGTGTTGTGATTCGATTTTAAACACTTTTTGATGAAATTTTGTGGATATTCATTCTTTTTGAAGACGGTTAGTAGGTATTTTTCTTCCATTCTTTTCAACTCTGGAGCGCTACAGTGTGTTTGAATTCTTTTAAACAATGTCTGCACACAGTTTCTTTTGTTGGTGAGTAATTGGATTATTGCTAGTATAGTTGAGTATTTGATCTGTGTGTGTGCGTTGATTTTCTATATGTGATCTATTATCTTCTCTTTGACTCAGAAGTATGTCAAAGTTGTGAGTTGTTTCTCCAAAATGTAGGACTAATATAGTCTCCTATGTTAATTAATGTTTTTAATTGACATTGAAGCGATTAATAAGTTTCGGATAAAACGATCCTACCAATTATAAATTATAGGAATGACTCATCACTCATACCGGAAATATGGAAAATACTACTAACAATCAAATCAAGCAATGGAAAATAATGGAATTATATAAACAAAGTTAGAAAGTCGTGTGAATAACTTGATATGATTATGAGTAGTAATAAATTGTGCTCGAAACGTCGTCATCAGTAAATATTACTGTATAACAACACTGTGAGACTTTATCAAAATAAATTTTACCCACAATGGAATCCTTTCCAATTATTAGAAAGTGTTCACTTTCAAGTGTGAAATGAATCTTGTCAGCACACAGCTTTCCTAAATAAGTTGTAGATACAGGAAATGCAATACTAGAAACATTTATTTCCCGACACGAATCTTAAACAAACCATAAAGGTTAGTAAAGCGGGATTTAATGAATTCATCAAATTTCGTTGGAACTCTTCAGCTGAACACTCTACATACAGTGATATATATATATATATATACCAATCGAATTACATTGGGAGATATGTGACTGATAAGTAAATAATCTACACTGAATTAATCATGCAAAATGACAGGTGTGACAGGTTTGAATGTTTTTCAGGTCACATTCAGACGGATAAGAAGAAGGGAGTATGAGAAATTAAAATTGAGATAAATTGCTGTACGGTTCATTTACAACACTTAAATAAACTTGCTGCTGCTGGATTCAACATAGAACTTGGCACCGAAGTGCAGCAGTTTGAGTTGCCACGTTCCAAATAGCACACAAAAGTAGACAAGAAGATGAGTGAAGAGAATCAATAGAGTTTTGACAAGTATAAGAGTGAAACAGAATGAGTAATGGTAGAAAGGAATATGAAAGATTACAGAGACTGAATACATCTGTGCCATTGACAACGATTTTGAGCCATGTCACCTATTGTCTCCAGCCATTGATTCTTAGAGTCCCGAGGGCCCCAACCCGGAAGTCTGCATCTCCCTACCTGACTCAGTTTAACTGTAAAGGATTTCATGGATTAATGCCATGTTTTTGTTTGGCCACCACTTACTCTTTTCCAACTTGCACCTATATCAGCTAGTAATGGCCGTCGGAGGAGGCGATGGCTAGGCATGCGCAGCACGTGACCTAACCATCTCAATCTATGTAACTTTATAGCCTCTTCGATTGATTTTCCCTCTTTGCCCAACACTCTACGCCTAACGTCAACATTACTTACCTTATTATACCACCTAACGCGAGAAAGAGATCGTAGACATCTGTAGTCAAAAACAGACAATCTCTTCATGTCTTCCGCTCTCAATGGCCACGTCTCACTACCATAGAGAAGGACGGAGCGAACTGCTGAGCAGTATACACGTCCCTTGGTTGATAGCCGAATGTCACGCCTACGCCAGAGACGGTGTAAGTTAGCGAAAGCAGCCCGAGCTTTCTGGATCTGTGCTGTGATTTCGTCACCAATCAATCCGTTGGTGCTGTTACAACTTCCCAAATAGGTGAAGTGGTCAACATGTTCTATCACTTCACTCCCTATCACTAAGCTAGGAGTTGACGTAGTCCAGTCCTGTAGCAGAATCTTACATTTTACAGGAGCGAATCGCATGCCAAACATACGAAGATTGCTGCTCAAGGTGTTCAGAAGACTCTGCATTTTGTCAGCGTCCTCCCCTAACAGGACTATGTCGTCTGCGTATCCTAAGTCTATAGGACTATTCCCTTTTAACAAGTCGATTCCTAAGTCGTTAAGTTCAGTTAAGGATACTTCCATTAGCATATCTATGATGAATTTAAACAGAAAAGGGGAAAGTGGACATCCTTGACGGATACCACTGGTTGTTATCAATTCAGATGACAATTCCCCATAAGCCCTTACACAGCTACGTGAGTTTGAGTAGAGTGCCTTGATTAGTGCAATGTACTTTCTTGGCACTCCCTTCACAGTCAAACATTGCCATAGTACCTCTCGATCCACGGAGTCGAAGGCCGCCTTCAAGTCAAGAAATATGGCAATTGTTGGACGCCTAAAAGTGTGTCTATGTTCTAGGATCTGTCGGAGAGTGAAGATATGATCTATGCACCCTCTATCTGGCCTAAAGCCCGCTTGGTTTTCCCTCGTTTGTTCCTCCCGAGTTCGGCTTAGTCTGTTCATGATTACTGAGCCTAGGATTTTAGAGACTATGTTCGTTAGGCTGATTCCTTTATGATTATCACATGAGGACTTGTCGCCCTTCTTGAATATTGGTATGATTAGTGACTTACCCCAGTCTGACTTAAATAAACAATCAGTTATGAGAGAAACGGCTTGAATATATCAAGAATTGCGAACTGAATAGTATTGAAAATAGTAGTGATGGTAATAATTGTAATAATAATAATTTTAAATGAGTTAAGTACTGAGTCAGGAATATCAATAAGCGGTAGCAAAAAATGTAGAACCCGAACGGGAAGCGACGAGTTGGTCGTCCGAGGGTGACATGGAGGAGGTCATGTGAAGAGGAGATGAAAGCATGTGGGCGGACATGAAGCCAGATGAAAAAGTTGACAGATAAACGAACGCAATGGAGACGTGCGGCTGAAGCCCTATGTTCCTCTAGGAATTAAAGGAAACAATAATAATAACAATAGTTATTAAGGAAAACATATTACCATGGTAGATTCAGCGTGACCACCATTTCCTTCTCTGTACACAGAGACCTCTGGTTTACAAACTCTAATTGTGCAAACCTCCGCAGTTGGAAGCATCTTCCTGTTTCTTTATCTGCTGACAACAGTGAATGACTTAACAGCACGTCAATATCATGTCCGTAGTCTACAAGATGCTTTGTTATTGAACAGTTTTTAGCACTTTGACTTCAGCTGTTTTCAACCACTTTACAAAATTTGATGAGTTCATTAAATCCTGCTGTATTAATCTTTATTGCTTGTTTTAAATGCAAAAATTACCACACGATATGTAATCAAAAAGAATGCTAGTAGTTGTGGTCATCATTTCGTCAATAAGTAAAGAGTTTACATCCAATAAGAACACAGTCTTATCCTTGACATTTGCATCAATAAATCAGTCAACAGCTTCAAGTGTGTCTTTCAAAGAAAACTCACACAATTTGCCATGTTTTTTAGCCTATTCACGAAACACACGAATGGGTGACTTAATGACGAAATACTCAGCAGGCGTACAACTGATTCAAGTTCGATATCCAACCAACTCATTCCTACACCTCGCCTAGTTTACTACTCAATAGTAAACCAGGAAAAAAGAGAAAATATTGAGCTTGAGGTTAGCCACCTTCTACCTCGTGGAAACAACACCACCACTACTAAAACTTCAAAGCTTGAAGCCGTAGGTTTCATTTGGAATGCATAGAAATGAATAAAAGAACGATATACAGGGGTCCTCGGGACGGTAAGAACCAATGCAGGCTGGAGACAATTGGTGATATGGCTCAAACTCATCGTTCTCAATGACTGGCGCAGATGCATCCACTCCTTGTAACTTATAATTTCCAATGAAACTACATTGTTCTTCGTTATTACTATTCCTTTTGTCTCATATCCCTGTCTACTGTCTCTATTATGCATTTCTTCTACTTTCTTCTCTTGCTTTGTGTGCTATAAGGAGGGAGTGTGGCGACTTGAACTGCTGCACATCGGTGCAAAGTTCTATGTCGAAAACAGACAGACAGACAGATAATTCCAGAAGCAACGGATTGTTAGTTGGTGTTTTTTTTGAATTTTAGACAGTCCGTATACTCATAGAAATGCAATTCGCATAAATTTTTACAAGACAGCGTTACGCTTTCATGATAATATATTCACATTGATTAGTCTGACTTTTTTTTCTTCTTGTTTTCCTTCACGTTCCGCAGGGGAACATAGGGCTTCAAGCTAGTGGCTTGAAGTTTCTGTAGCAGTGTTTATTTTACAGGATAGGGTTGCTAGCCTCATGCCCAACCTTCCTTCTTCACCAGCATTATTTCTGGCTTAGTGAGGTAAAGGAGTGCGTCGGCCGGGGATCGAACCCCGGACCATGTGCATGGTCGGCGAGCGTCCTAACCGCTATGCCACCGATTTGTCTGACTTAGGTGAAACTTTTTCTTCCAACTCTCTAATATTTACAGACAGGATATCAACAATGAATTTTATTGCTAAACGTGTATAGCATATTTAATTTTTGTAATCCCATTTATCCATCTATTTTGAACCGGATCTTCTATCATATTTAAAGGTAGTCATTTAGAATCTTCTTTTCACTAATCTCTGTTTGTCTATATTGGAAATTTTAGATACCGAAGAGTTATCTCATCTACGCATTAGACTTGAACAGACTGAAAGGGAAATGACTCGAATATTGAAAGCAATGCAATCAGCTGAAGATGCACTACGTGGTCCGATGGAAGAGCCTGAAATAGAAGAAGAAAACTACGCCGATGTATTAGCTGACGAAAATATTTCATCTGAGAAACAGTACTCCGCAGTGGATGACGAAAATGAAGATATCGGAAGTGTAGAGGAAGAGGATGGAAACATTAGTGGCGAAGATGAGGTTGAATTTAACTCTCGTAATGAGCAACCGACGGAAGATGTACAGAAGTCACCTGAGGAGCAGGATACATTTACTAATGACAATGAAATAGGTTAGTTTTGTATTAATTTTATTAAATATCTGTGAGTTTTTCTTTTTACTGCTAATTATCTAGAGAAATTACCCCTCTAAAGGATAGTGCTAGGCTGTTCACTAGTCTAAACACCATAAAGTCAAAACTTTTGATTTAATATTATCTGTCAGGTGCAGTTTAGAAATAGAAATTTCACCAATATAGTTCGTTCGAAACTGCCCTATATACGTAATGTATTTAAATCTTCTGTAAATAAGGGTTCAATACTTTATAGGTCTTTAAGCATAATTTATTGTAAAGGAATTTGAAAATTCAAGTGGTAATAGGATTAAAACGTACGTTAAGAATAGAAAAAGGCTCACTTCCGACATTGTTAGCAATTAGAACAGAATTTCTTGGAGGATTTGGTCATGAGCTGACATCATTTAGAGAACCATTTGAAAACCTGGGAGTATTGGACAGCCGTTTCGTCCAAGTTTATGACTCTTCATCAGTGCGCGCCCATTGCGGTGCGTACAAAACCATTACTAGAAAATTAATCTGATGCTCACTAGTGACTGTCTCTCTCTCTCTATATATATATGTATATATATATATATGTATATATATATATATGTGTATATATATATATATATTTCCACACGTTAAGTTCGCTGTGAATGGCTGGTGATTTCTTCAAGGTTAATCTTTGCTATCGTTTTTCTCACGACCCTGATTCGGGACGTGAACACTGAAATAAATTGTTGTCTACAACTTTGGCTTGTAGCTAGCTCTCACCACAATTTCAGGTGTTAGGGTTTTGTCTTACTTAAGAATTTGCGCTCAAATTTTGATTTGGTCAAATGACAGATCCATTAAAATACCCTCGCTGCTGCATGGGTAACACCAATGAAATATCTGCAGTTTTGAGAAATTCACCTTCACTGTCAACGTTTCGCAGTCATGAATTACCACATAATGCATTAGCATGTGTTTGTATGTTATGCGTTTCATCAATCTGTTAAATTGTCCACTGCAAAAGTAGTACAAATGAATGAGAGGTAAACTAGCTGTAAACTCAATAGGGTTAAAGCCACGGTAAAAGTAGATGAATCATCTTACATTCGGTAATTAGGTGGAGTTTCGAAATCAACTACATTTGTTATTCAAAGTCAGCATTCTTATATATATATATATATATATATATATATACATATATATATATATATATATGTCAAACATGCGCAAGACAACACCAACAATGAGGAATCTAAATCATCAGTAGTTATTCCATACAAGGAGGGAACCTCCGAAACCTCACGCAGAATTCTTAACAAGGCAGAAATTAAAGTGGCATTCAAACCCACAAACTCAATTAGAGACAAGTTGTGTCAGTTAAATGATCCTGTGGAGCCTTTAAAACAAAATAATTTAGTTTATCTAATACCCTGCAATGATTGTCAGGTCAGATACATAGGTCAGACTAGCCAAACATAAAAACCTTGCAGCAAAATGCAGATTAGTTGACCCGAATAAGATAAGAAATTTGGAGAATAGTTCAGCTATACCACTGACTACATGCAATAACACACAACCATACAATGGGATGGATGGGATAAAATGACAGTTTTAAAATCTAATATAACACCGGGATGGAGGGAGAGATTGATAACAGAAGCTTTGTTTATCGAATCAACTGCAAATGCATGTAATAGGAATGATTCAACACCTGTCCAGTTGGATATCTGGAAAATTCTACTACCCCAGGGATGACAAATAGGAGAAAACAAAGAAAATTATAAAACGAAAGTTTCGAAGTCGTGTGATTATAATTGATATGATTATAAACAATAAATTTTGTTCGAAACGTCATCCAGTAAATAATACTGTTTCACTGTGTGATACATCTAATAAACAAACTAATATGGAATCAGACACTCTAGAAAGCAACCTTCTGCATGTAAGTTACCGAATTCTAAAGGGTTCACAATCTAATTGTGTCTGCAAAATAAAATGCTTGGAATGCGGTGAGATATACAGAGGACAGACATCGAGAGAAATCAAGATAAGAAGCATTTAATGTCGTAGAGTATCAATTCGTCCACTGAGAAATTCAGGTAAACTAAAAAAGCTTGAAAAGTCATCAGCCATAGGTGGTCTGTACGCTGTAGGATCAGGTCACAAAATTGATTTTGCCAATATTGAAAGCATCATCCAGAATAATTTCAGAAATCACAAAGAGTGTCTAATATCAGAAGCACTTCATATCAAATAGAATCCAAATTGTCTTGAATAAGAATAATGAACTTAAACGGAATTTGACCTGGTCACAACACCCCCCTCCCTCATGAAATGACGAAATCAATACAAATGTGACAAACAATTTCATTATGTAAACACATAATGCTTTGATAATTTTATACGCTTGTCAAATCCAACAATCTACACCTGGTTTTGTTTTCTTCACCAGTTGACTAACTTGACAACGTAAAAATTACCTCATGCTGAAGAAAGGTGATTAAGTAGCTGTATATGTATAATCTGAGATTTTGTAAATTCTGGTTTAATATCACTACTTTGATAAAGCTATTAGCAGCATTAAATTAAATAGTGAAATTAGGTAGCTTTCGCGCTGTCGTGAATTCGGAGAAGTTGGAATTCATGGGCTGGCCATTGGTACGGGTCCCAGTGGCTTAATGGTCTACGAGCTAGCTCGCCTTGTAACCAGAAGGTCCTGGATTCGAAACCTGGTAGTGGGTGCGTACTGTGAAGAGTCCCAAGCTAGGACGAAACAGCTGTCCAGTACTCCCTACAGGTTTTCCAATGGTTCTGTAACTGATGTCAGCTTATGATGAAATCCAGTAACTTAATAGCGAAACGTCAGCAAAAACAACAGTATCGTTTTACTTTTCATTCATTGGGAAATACAAAACCTTTTACATATATCATAAAAAAGAAAAGGCGTTCAGCAAAGAGTTACTCTTTTCGGCGATATCATTCTCAAGCTGTACAAACCGCAAATTTATAGTAATTTGTCTTGGCAACACAAGGAATATTTCCAAAGATGTGTTAATGCAATTGTTAATTTTTTGACAACAAATTACGTAATTTAGAAGGCGTTCATCGGTTAGAAACTAAAATAAAGTTACAAAAGTAGGTTGGGTGACGTAATCTAATTGCTAGGGTTCAATGAAAAATGAATGAGAGTCAAGTTAATAAGCTGAGTAGAATTCACTTAAAAATAAACGAAAATGGAGTTAGCAACAGTCATCTTGAGGGTAGAGATTTAATAGAGGGTGGGGGTAGAAAATAATGCAATTAAGAAACAGACAAACAAAGAAGAAAGAGGTAAGACAAAATTACGTATTTGGTGTTAAGATAGATCAGGACCATTGTATCATAGAGACTTATTATATCTTTTTATATTTATTATTTTCTTATTACTAATGAATTATTATCCCCATGTTTAAACTTTGAATAGATATCGTTGACATAAGTGAATCGTGTATTCGTCGACGTTTAATTCCATCATCAGCGTCATCATAACTTTCTGCCAATCATACTATCTATATTGGAATATTGAAAAAAAATATGCAACAGGATAACGTTTGTTTTCATTGTGTATGTTACTGTGACAATCACCTTTTAATTCTTTGTAATTATAATAATAATAATTATTATTATTACTATTACTGCCATCATTATTATTACAGTTAATTTCCGTTTTTTCTCTCTCACTGTCTTTCTAGTTTTGTGTCAATTTTCTCCATTCTTTCCATTTTTTAATGTAGTGAATATACATAAGCCCCTACCACCCCTCCATCGTATTTTCTTCCATGACACGAAAACTTACTAAATGCTTCTTTTTTTCTATTCATAATACTATTATTACCTTTTATTATTACTATTATTATTTTGTATTTAACGTAAAGTAATATCTGCACTAGAGAACTGAATAATACCTCTGCACGTGTGTGTGTGTGTACGGATGTTGATTGCAATGCATATTTACATATATACATATGTTTCATTGAATCTTGTAAAAATTGACTTTAGTTAATTAGGAAAGTTAATTTCTTTTTTTTTTTTGTATACCCAATTTGTCTCTTTTTTTTGTCTCCTTCGATTTTTTTTAACTGATTGGTATAAACTGTTTACTACAAGGGTTGTAATAATAATTCTATAATAAAAAAAATCTCATTGAACATTGATCAAAGTGAATTGTGTTTTCTTTTTTGTTTTGTTGTTTTGTTTTCAAGTGTTCGTTTTCAGGGTAATGTGTGGATGATACAGGTTTAGATATGATGGAGAAGATTTGTAGCTCAGGTGGATGATTTTGATATGGTTGTGTTCTCTGAGCTGGATAGTTAATTTGCGAAGCTTTCATCGTCCTACTAGGCGACATCTTCAACGTATACTTCAATTGGTTGAAGTGAGCTTTTAGATTTCTCCACGAGTTTATTAATCATCTCTCCTGGCGACCTTGGATGTGATTGGTTGTTTTTGTGTGTTTTCACACCTTCTAGGTTATTTGTATTGTAATTCATTGTTTCTTTGACTTGAACTTTGACTCTTTGTGTCTGAGGTTTCTTTCTTATCGGTTGATAAATTTTGTCTATTTCGATGTGTCTATTGATTGATGATTCACTGGAATGCCAAGCTTCTAAAAATTCTCTAGCATTCTTGGTGTTTCCTCTGTCTAATATTTGAACATTGTCCCAATCGAATTGCTGCCCGTGGTTGTCTGTATTTAGTGATATGAGGGAGTGGATGTCATGTCTTTTGACAGCTAGCTTATGATCGTGGATACAAAACACACACGAAGGGTCAAAGTTCAAGTCAAAGAAACAATGAATTACAATACAAATAACCTAGAAGGTGTGAAAACACACAAAAACAACCAATCAAGTCCAAGGTCACCAGGAGAGATGAATGATAAACTCGTGGAGAAATCTAAAAGCTCACTTCAAATTGAAGTATGCGTTGAAGATGTCGTCTAGTAGGGTGATGAAAGCTTCGCAAATTAACTATCCAGCTCAGAGAACTCAACCATATCAAAAATGATACAGGTTTGATCATAAGTTGTTACTCTAGTTAGAGAACCAGGGAATACTGGACAGTTGTCTCATCCTTGTTTAGGAATCTATTCAGCAGTACTCGCCTAGTGGGATTCGAAACCAGGACCTACTGGTTACATTGGCAAGTTCGTTGACCATACAGCTACTAGGACCCTATCCAATGGCTCATGAATTCCAACAGCTGTCGATTTGTGACGCGGCTCGTCATTAGGCCTATAACTGTTTTTCTTTGGTCCTAATGATTGTAGGGAATTGTATGGATAAATTCTCAAGTATTGACTTGTAGGAATTTGATTGGTTTTGAAGTCTGATTGCGAAGTGATATCCTTTAAAGAATCACCAAAAACGACGGAAAAAATTCTTTAAACAGTGCCATCGCCAGGCATCTCCTCGACACGGGTGATGAGGTGGAAATCGAGAAATCCTTTAAAATTATCAATAGACAAAAGAGCTCCATTCTCCTCAAGTTTGCCGAAGCAATTTCTATCAAACGCTTCAAACCAGATTTATGTGTTCAGAAAGAAGCAGTTATTAGTCTTTCCTTGCCATGGTAACTGCATGTCTTTATTCTCTACTCTGATTACGTAATCTTTGTCTTTAACCTCACCCCTCTTTTTTATAATCTGTAATATTGCTTGTCTCTTGTTTCTATGATGTGATTTGAACTCAGTACATCGTTACCAAAATTTATTAGTTACTCATCATCTTACTCACCTCTCGTCTTTATTACGTAACTCCTTTACCATTGTATGCATACATTTATTTTGACTTGAACTACCTTTGTAAAAACTATATAAGCACAATTTTTTGAACACTTTTCACTAGTTGTGGAACTTTCTGTCAACTGACAACATGTAAAATTTGCAAGTATGTTAAAACTTTTCTGTACGTAAACCTCACAATTTATTTAGGCTGTAAGCAGCTGATGAGAAGCCGACGAAATAAATGATGGTACCATATTATTCTGCACAAACCACTGTTGTTCTTGCTTTATTTAAACGACGGAGTACATAGTAAGATAGTCATTTTGTCCTGGTTTACAGGTGTTTACAGGTTAAGAAGTAAGCCCGTTGACCACTCAGCCAGTGGGACAGAATCGAACAGCCAGCAAATTTTGTCAATTTGCGAAATATAACGTGACTGTTAGCCAGTGTTATCAGTGAGTATTTGTCCTCACACTGGAGTTGGTGGACCCCACTCCTCACTAGATATCCAGGCACTCCATACTGCAGTCACTCACTAGTGAAGATTATATTAAATTTCAAGTATTGGTTTCCAGGGGCCTCATGGATTTCATAAGAGTTTTCGAACTGACATTAATTATAGGACCACTGAAATGTAGGGATTACTAGACAGCTAGCTGTCTTGTCCCAGTTTGGGACTCGTCAGCACTACGTACTCACTACCCTATCAGGGTTCGTTTGTGTTTAGTTTGTTTATGCTAGTTATAGATGATTTCCTGTTGATAACTTGTCAACACTATGATAGTTTGTATATTAGTTCTGAGATACCTATCCATAAGTCTGGAAATCTACCCCTCTCAACATAAAGTATAAGATTTGGATTTTTAATACTAATATCATTTCAGTTCATAGGTATGGTTCAGTGATATGGTGCTTACGTCACAAAAAGCATTCCGAGCAGGCTTCAGACTTTTATTAACAGCCGTCTTCGTCCCACACTGAAGATCAGATGACTAGAAACGGTTAGCAACACGGAAGTCTGGCAATAAACCTGTCAAGAACCTATCGCCCAACGTCACGCGGCAGACTTTCGAGTGGATCCTGAATAGAAAACAATGATTTCGGCGTCCAAGTTTGACATGGAGGAGTTCATCTGAAGAGGAGATGAAAGCTTATGGGCTATCGTGGAGCCAGACAATGACTACTGCAGTGAAGATGGTGAAATGGGGATGTTGTAGCTGTATGTTCGACTCAGAACCTAAAGGAATAATAATACCCATAAGTCATTGTATTATTCAGTTCTTAATGCTCTATGTATTAGTTTCAAATAAAAGAAGGAAGAACGAAGTAAATTTTCTTTTCGACAAACCACTTTCAAAAGCTGTATAACTAACTGCATGTACATTCAAAAGGGAATTCATAAAACCAGACAGATACTGGTAATTAGGTTGGTATAACGTAATAACAAGGGGAAAACAATCTAATCAGTCCGAATGTACAAAATGTAAATAAAGCTGTTAGAAATATAACAAGGTAATTTCGCTATGGATAAATAGCCCATTCAAAATTCTCTCCCTGTGAAGCAATCATACAGATGTATCTGATTTCCAGAGTTGATAAAATGCTTCAGGCTAGAACTATTGGTGTTCTTATATTCTCCTCTGACTAGCAAAGTTGTATAGTGTTCCAAAGTACATTCATGGAATTCACCTTGTGTGAAGCATAAAAGCAAATTAAGCTGGAAAATAATTCAACAATGAGGTGGCTGGAAGTGGTATCTTATCCTTAAAGCATATCTGGATTAAATATCTTCTTAAGAATGTAAGAAGCAGCAAAGACAGGACTCCAGGTGAACAAAGACAAGACGGAGGTTATGAAAATAACCAACCAACAACAGCAGCAGCAACATCCACCGCCAATCACCATCAAAGGGAGGAATTTGAAAGAGGTTACTTCATTCACTTATCTAGGGAGCATTGTCTCAACTACAGGCGGGTGGAACGGACGAGGATGTCAAATGGATAATCGGGAAGGCGAGAAACACATTCATCAACCTGAAACCAATCTGGAAATCTTCGTCACTCAACTCAGCATCAACAACAACATTCTTCGGATTTTCAATACAAACGTCAAGTCAGTTCTTCTATACGGATCAGAAACTTGGCCACTGTGTCACAAAGAATATTTCCAACAGCCTGTTGCAGACCTTTATCAACAACTGTCTTCGCTCCAAACTGAAGATCAGGTGGCCGGAAAGAATCACCAACAAGAAACTATGGGAACAAACAAAACAAGAACCAATCGCCAAACAAATATGCAGGAGAAAGTGGAGATGGATTGGACACTCGCTGAGGAGGCCGTTGGGTGACACCGCGCGTCAGGATATAGCTCGAGTGGAACCCGAAAGGGAAGCGACGAGTGGTTCGTCGGTGCAAGGGTGACATGGAGGATGATCGTGTGAAGAGGAGTTGGAACAGTATGGACTAACATGGATGCAGGTGAAAAGTACAGCAGAAGACAGAAGCAAGTGGAGACGTGCAGTTGAAGCCCTATGTTCCACTAGGAACCCAAGGGAACAATAAGAAGAAGAATGTTATTTTCAAAATGGTTGCTTGAAATGTCTTTTTCAGACATTTTGAAAGGAGGTTTTTTTAAAATGTTTTCTGCTTCAATGTCACCTTTGTACTATAAGTTCATGAAGAGAATTTCCTCAGGAATGATTTCGAGCTTCAGTGACGTCGATTTTTCTCACCTTTTTCTGTTGATATATGTAAATGTATATCCTTTTTCTCATAAAGTGTAGCTCAGAGATTGCAATCCAGTTTCAACTATATCATCAAACAGATTTTTCCAATCACTAAGCATAAAGAACGTTGAGGGTTATGTTTCCTCACTAGTGGGGTATAGATCTGGAAGTTAATATACTTACAGTTCATGTAGCTTTTCACCGTAGTGACTACTGTATCCAGTTGTCTAGTCTTCTAGTAAAGAGCATGTCCAGGAATGGAAAAGACAACTTCGATTCTTGTTCCAGAGTGAATTTTG